ATTTATTTTTCACATTTCGGATATTTTCGCGAGACGATGATAGCAATTAATCATACGCGAATTAAAACGTTTTCTTCATATCCTCATCATATATTATAGACTATCCGTGCATTTATTAAAATTGCCCGATCCTCAATGTGTTAAGCGTTCTCAAGTCTGACGTCTTTCGATTCCCTATATTTTTATCTGTTCTATCTCTCTTTCTGGAAGTAAGTATGCCGAAGTATCGCAAAGATTCTCACATGCAACTCTCACGAATCACTCTGTCCTATCCCTATACCGACGCAGCTGCTCCGAACTCTGTGTTCTAATATATTGCCTTGTTCCGCAGGGCGAGCCAAGCCCCAGCTAGTTATGTAATATCTTATGGCATCGCTGCTTTCTGTCTTGTTTACGTATCTGAAAAATGGCGGGAACGCAAAGCCGGAATGAGAGTCGCGAGGTGAATCGGATAATAGTACAAAAGATCCGATCTCTGATTGGATCGAATTCAATCTGAATCAGCATTCGACAAATTGGAAAAGTTAAAGTGGGTTATAACAAGTTCAGAAATTCAGTTGGAGATTTTTTTTCTTTCAATATACGATTCAACCTCCGATTTCATTCCCCTGCCATTGCTATATATATTAATATCTGTATAGGATGTCCCAAGACTGGCACTCATTATCTTTCAACGAGAGCTTCCTCTTTGGAGTCGATCTTTCCTCTTCTGTTTGAAAATAATTTAAAAATTTTTTTTAAATTTGCTAATTTGTTCATCGTATATAATTTTGATTCCAATCATCGCAGGAGACTTAAGAGAATCCTAAACGTCCTTGAGTTACAGTTCTGTTTTATCGACAAAATGTAAGATTAGATAAACTATAAATCTATTTATTGGCTATACGGATTGTTTTTTACCTGAAATTAGACCGCTTCCTCATTTGTTAATATTAATACCTTAATTTGTATAGGAAAAAGCATATCTTTTCTATCAATCTGTATAGTCTCACATATCTAGGTTGCTGAATTATGAATTCAAGAATTCTGCAACCTAGATATATGAGACTATACAGATTGATAAATCTTTTTCCTGTACAAATAAAAGTATTAATATTAACAAATTGCGAAGTGTTTTAATTTCAGGTAAAAAACAACTCTCATAGTCAATAGATTTATAGTTGAATCTAGCCTCACATTTTTGTCGATAAAACAGGACTGACATTCAAGGATGTTCAGGATGATCACCTTAAAGCTCGACTCCGAAAAAGAGAAAGGGATGAAAAGAGGAACGCGCTCGCTGAAGGATAACAGAGTTACGGGTTTTTGGGGAACGAACAGTTTTTCCGCATCCGAGTGCGGAGAATCTTTTCATATGCGTATATATATATATATATATGTAAAATATATATATATATATATGCATATATACGCGGCGTTATGAATATCTCTCTGAGCCTGAAAATTTATTTTCCTATATTTCAAGTGCGTGTGCCGGCAGCCTGCAACTTGCTGTTGCGTGTGCCTGTCATCTATATCTATCTCTATCTCTCTCTCTCTATCTCTCTCTCTCTCTCTCTATTTCTCACTCTCTCTCTATCTCTCTCTCGCTCCCGCGCATCGGCGACGTCGTCGGCCGGTTCGCCGTCGTCGTCGCCGATCGACCACCAGCCCCAGATCAGATTCATCTGACCGGTTACCCGGCTTTCCAATTTGCAGATTCGCGTAGTGAACGCATTTCGGCAGGGCCTAGACACGCGCTACGGCGAGCACAGCAGCACCACCCTGGCGGAGGTACTGAGGAAGCAGTCGTCCTTGAGCAAGCGACTCTCGCAGACTAGCAGCATCGAGTACGCCGACAACATACCGGACGAGCTCACCATACCGGAAATCGACGTCGAGAGGCTCTCGAGTCACAGTCACACCGAGACTGCCGTTTAGAGACGACGCCGCCGCGTCGTCGGTAGCGACGCCTACTACTACTATTACTTCTATTACTACTACTGCTACTACTACTACTACTACTATTGTCACTACGAGCAGGCCAACTATAAAGACGACGACGACGACGACGACTACGATGACGACGACGATAACGTCATCTTCTTGCGCTTGTCGTCTCCCCGTGGTCGTCGTTCGTTCACGGCGAGAAGAGCAGGCGGTTCATAGAAAGTGGATTTTTCGGGGGAGAGAAAAACTGTGTACGAGAGAAAGGGGGTACGGGGAAGAGGGAAAGGAGCGGAGGATATCCGTTTGTTAGTCGCGCAACAGAAGGGTGTCGCGTCTCCGAAGGAGATCCTCTTCTGTCCCCCTATGGTTCTCTCCCCTTTTTATTCTCGCGACGCGAGAAACGACGGGATAAACGACCGCTGCAGCGTGTGCGAGAAAGACATCAATTATTAAAAAAAAAAAAAATATATATATATATATATATATATATATATATATATATATATTATCCCAAAGTAACGCACCACTGCCTCCTATACGTAGTTCAGTTTACGTTTTACGTACGCCTCCCTTTACGTTCCCTCACTCGTACCACCCTTGCGTCTCTTCTTCGTGTTTCTCTCTTATTATGTATCGTGTGTGTGCGTGTGCGTGTTTGTTGACAATTCTTTCGTTCCTCTTCACGACGCACCGCTGCGTGTGGAAGAAGCGCGACTACGGCTGGGGATGACGGAAGAAAAGGCAAAGAGAGGAGAGAGAGAGAGAGAGGAGAGAGAGAGAGAGAGAGAAGAAAAGGGAAGCTTATCAAATTGTGTCGACTCCCCTCTTGTCTTCTTTCTTCTATCGCTTCTTTCATCCCTTCGCCGTTTCTTCCCTCCGGTTCTCTCTAGTTATCTTCTTTCTTCTTCGCCGTGTTGACATTCTCTCTCTCTCTCTCTCTCTCTCTCTCTCTCCATCTCTACCTCTGCCTTTCTTGATCTTCTCCTTCGAATTAACAGATTGTTATAGACTATTCTTTCTTTTCTTGGTTTCTTTCTCTTTCCCTTTGTCGCTCTCCCAATCTCTCTCTTGCGCGCTTGACTTAAGGATGATCTAGTCACTAGTTTGTATTACTCTAATACTTCCGTGAATATACTCTGCACTGGGGGTGCCTTACTGAGAGAAGAGAGTTCGAGGAGGAGAAGAAGAAGAACAAAAGCGCGAAGAGCAGGTGTCTGTAAAATGTTCATTGTTTTTCTGTAGCGTGGTTACACCATGTTGCGAGATACATCTATATCTATATATATATATATATATATATATATATATATATATATATATACATATAAATGAAGAAGGAAGCGAAAGAGAGGATGAACTCTGGGGAAGATGCGGGAAAGATATTACGTGTATAAAGTCGCACCGAGATTCTTCTTCTTTGCCGAAGGGGATGCAGATCAATACGGAATCGATCGCCACACGACATTGCCATTATTACGCTTAAATCGATACGGAAATCCTGACAGTAAAGGCGTAATCACACACGCCCTGTGCTTTAATATATATGTATATACATATATGTGATATATGCATATACAGGGTGTCTGACATAAGGTGTCACGCCGAAAATATACAAGTGGATCTTCTTATTTGGAAACGATTTTTCCGCTGCAAAAATACTGAGGCGTCAATAATTTTCGAGCTACAAATGATTCTTCGCAAACTAAGTGTTGTGGAAATAAAATATTAACAAGCCCACATTCCGCAATTAATTTCACGTAAAATTTACTGTAACCAAATTTTAATTTAAGGTTTAGTTATAGAGATACGTGATGGCAAAAAATGATGGCCTCCCTCGACATTTTTGCTTAAAAAAAAAGAATCGTCTCCAAATAACGAGATCTACTGGCATATTTTCGGCGTGACACTTTATGTCAGACACCCTGTGCATATATATACATTTATATATTATGAAGCGAGGAAGAATGGAAAAATCGAGGAGGGAGACCGGACGGTGATTTCAACGCTTGCACACGCAATGAGCGAAAAAAAATGGGACGGACGCACGCGAGAACACTTAATTACGATCGGGGAGAGAAGATCACATTTTAACCGACTCGTTTACAATCGCTTCATCGTCGAGGGACCTAAAGCGACCTAAAGAAAAAAAAACCAAAAAAAAAACGGGGGTAGTTTTATCCGCGTCCCCTGGGCCGGTAAAATTAAAAAGAAAGAGAGAAAACGTAACAAGATTTTCGTTCATCCTGTGACTACGATGTTATTCTCAGGACCTGTCGATTTCACGTAACGTTACGAAGCGCGTAAATATATATATATATATATATATATATTAAAAATATTATATAAATATATATTAAAAATATATATATATATATATATATTAAAAAAAAAGAGAAATATATATATAAATAAATAAATAGAATTATAAATATCACATCATAAGACACACACTTGAGAGGGAGGGAGATATCCGTGTCTCTTGTGAAAGGGAATGTGTTTCTTCTCACGGCTGTTCGAGAGAGCAAGAGAACAAAAAAAAGGAAAGGAAGAAAGAAACAGGATGAAGGCAAAGAGAAGGAAGATGTAGAGATTTCGCGAGATCTGCTCGATTACGCGATTATGATCGAGAAACGCCATCGGATCCCGACGTAAACGTTGGCAATATAGGTTTATTATACTTCGTCGTATAAGTTTTACGTTCTTAAGTGCAAGACCGCTGCCAAATAATAGAGAATAGTGTGTAATGTATATGTACGAAGTCGCATCTCCATGAAGTCAGTAGCTCGTATTTCGTAGTTTTAATTTACGTTTGTTTCTCAACCGCCCTTTTTTGCGAAAAAGAGAGAGAGAGAGAGAGAGAGAGAGAGAGGAGAGAGAGGAAGAGAGAAAAAAACACATCGAGTGAAGAAAGAATATACATGCAGAGAAAAGTGTGTTAAGCAAAAAGTGGGAAAACTTTTTCGAGTCTTCGAAGTACCTAAGTCAAGTTATTACACCGACATCGGTTACATTATACGAGGATTAGACGATGGAAAAAAAAAGAGAATATAAGTAAAAAAAAAAAAATGCAAAGAGAATTCTCTCTCTTTTAGGTCCGTATTATAATATAAATAACATACAATGATAGGACTTCGTTTGAAACAGGCTTTAAGAGGCCTATTTACTGCACCTTATTCTAGTCTTAAGCACTCTATATGCCTTACACTGCCAAATAATAAAGACGCGCTGTTATTATGTATACCTTTGTGTTACACGCACGCACACGAACACACACACACACACACACACACGACGGGCACGTATGATTACACCTACGAACACGCATTGTCATCTTCCATTATTGTCACGACGTTACGACGTCATCTCGTCCCTCTTCACCTGAGCTAACTTGATCGTCGCCATTTTTCAATTTTTCTGATTTTCCTAGGACCGCGAATAATCGTTCTCTCTCTCTTATTCTGCGCTTAAATATGCACAATATTGACGCAGAATGCGAAAATCCGAAATTCAGATTAATTTCACGAAGGTTTCGAGAAAGCAAAGTTAAATATAAACCTAACTTTTTGGGGTAATTTTCGCAATTTTGCAGATTCTTCTTTTGCCGAAGAAGTTCATTCAAACCTCTCGAAAAATCAAGTTGGAAACGATTTTACAACACATATTTAATATGTGAACATGATTGATCTGTATCGTTTCTAATTTAATTTTTTTTCCATTTACCTTTTGCTGTCAGGAATTAGATATTGACGATAACAATTTTGTGATTTCGCAAAAAAAAAAAAAAAAGAGGACAAATGATGACCGATTGTGACTCGAGAGCAAATTTTCACACCCGCAAATACATTCGCACACTTATATATATACACACGCACATACACAAAATATATTTCCGTTATCATCGTCATTCGCATCATCTTGCCATTCTTTGTTTTTGTTCCCTTTTTCGTTCATCATTGGCAAAATATATCGCGCGAGTCATCCCGTCCCTTATTAACTGAGAGGAGCATCGAGAATATTTTTATGCGCCATTAACGCGATTCTTATATTGTATCTATGTACTTGAAAAAACGCATTTCTCTCGCGCAGTGTATTAAAAACAAAAAAAAAGTATCGCGTGGCTGTACCTCCGACAATTACGTCTTATAACGCGTGATTCAACTAACGAAAACGAACGACTTATATAGCTCGAGGGTCGTTTCACGGGACGATCCCGGTTGCGAGGGTGTGTGTAGGATGTTTCCTCGACTTTTAAGTTTAACAGCGATTTCTTCAATATACTCTATATTTCAATAGATTCTTCCCTGAGTTGTTAAAATTCAAAGAACAAATTTATTTTATCTTATTTTATTTCTCGCAATTAATTAAGAAGCGAGGGCATTTATTTTGCAAATTATTAATTTATGAAAAAAGGGAAGACATTTTTTGACAATCTTTAGTTGAGAAAAAATATATACTTCATATTCGAGAGAGAGGAATCCGTTGTTAAAATTAAAATCGAGTCGCACAGCTGACAGAACTAAAATGTCAACGTGATTGTTTCGCGCCGCAGAGTTTATATTCCTGTCCGTGTGTGTCGATATACATATATATACATGTATATGTATGTATACATAGATACAAGGATTTATTTGTAAGCGAAAATAATTCTCTCACCATTTTTCCAAGAGCCTTGTAAATCCGCCAGAGCTGCTGGGAAGTTCTATAAAATCAGCGTGTTTTCACTTCTTCACCTTCTTCTCACTTTGATAGGCTTCGAAATAGAGACGAGAAGGGAAATGAAAAAAAGACAAAGAAATCATCGACGACCCGTCGACGATATATATCGATTATGTAATCGTCCTCCTCGGATATTACAGGCGATATTGTTGAGATTACGCTCTTAAAAATTTTTCAAGTCCGGTTGCATCTCGGATCATCGCGCTTTCACGGTCCAATTGTGTTCTAGAAAAAGAAAGAGGAAAAAAATTATTAATAAAGTTACTGAAGAAGAGAAAGCGATCGTCGCGAGGGGATGACTCTCTCTTTCTATATTTCCAACCATTATCTTGCAAGCATCGGTCAAAAAACCGTAAATCTCTTCCCTAGACAGCTCGATTCGATCGAGGTACAACTGGGCTTCGGTGGTGCAAACATACATGCATATAAATATAAATATATATATAAATATATATATAAATATAAATATAAATATATATATATATATATATATATATATATATATATATGCGATCGTCGTTCGCCGGTTCGGTCGTAGATTCGAGCCGGCGGACTCGAACTGTCAAATAGCTGTCAAAAGCGTTTTTTTTTTTTCGGGGGACGAGAAGAGGGATGATCCGCGAACTCGACACGTAAGGTATTAACCCGGTTGGCGGTTGTTCGTATATACGGGTGTTTCCTCATTCAATTCCACACACTTCCGATGCAGCGAGATTGTTGCGAGTCTACCGGCTGGCGCCGGTTGCGTTGTACGCTGCGATTGTTGCATAATAATAATAATAATATTAATAATAATAATAGTAATAATAATATTAATAATAATAATATTAATAATAATAATAATAATAATAGTAATAATGGTCCTGTGTATCTCTTCCGAGCTGCGTTTCTCGAGCAATTGTTCGTTAAAAAAAATGTTCCTTTTCTCGTTCGCTCGAACAAAACTCTGACGAGGTCTTTGTAAATAGCGTTAAGTATATATTAAACAAATATAGTACGCTTCTCCCTCTGGCCCCTCTCTCCCTTCACCTTCTCCTCCCTCCTAGAGAAAGTATATATAATTATCTCGAGCACGCGTTGGAGGAGCCAAAACGGGTTAATACCATCATGTGTTTCGCGCAAGAAAAAAACTCACCCGTTTATAATTCTCTCAGAATCTCGTTAATAACCCAGGTAGCAAGCGTACGTCATTTTGACATTCAATGATGTCATTCGACGTCAAAATGACGTCAGTTCGCTACTTGGAAGTGCACGCGCTTCGCGAACAAACGTTGTTGGTTTTTCTTTTATATATACATAATATATTATGTCTAATTGACGCGAAACACGCCCACTTATGTCTCAACGATTCCGCAAAACTCGATTTCCGCTGACAGATTAGGGAAGACACACGTCGCACATTTGGATCCCGAAATATATCTTTCTCTTTCTCGCTCGTGTTACATCTTCGCGCATAATTATATTGTTTCTCATGTATGAGAAAAGGTATGAAGATTGATTCTCGATCGAATGTTGCGATCAGTAATTATACATATGATCATTATAAGTCGTTAATATTTGTAAATACGCGCGCGGATTAATTAATACAGCGAATTAATCTCGTGGGAGAAGAAATTTGAAATAAGTTACATCGATATTTTTTTGTTTCGATAAATGTGTTAACACTTGTAATCTCATTTTCTTAGACATTGAAGGTGTGTTTCTTCTTCGTGTACATACATGAAGAAGAAAAGAAGAAATAAAAAAATATAGAAAATTGAAGTAATGATAAGTAAAGAAATAATATTACATCAATGTTTTCTTGCTTTACAATGACGATATGTCTCGATAATAAACGTTAACAACCTTTTTCGGACATTGAAGATAGCCACATTTCTTCTTCGTATATATATCTTATATATGTACATGAAGAAAGAAGAAATAAAAAAAGATAAAAAAAATTAAAGTAATAAATAAAGAAATCATATTACATCAATATTTTCTTGTTTTACAATGACGATATGTCTCGATAATAAACGTTAACAATCTTTTTCAGACATTGAAGATAGTTGTGTGCGATTCTTCTTCGTGTACATATATTATATGTATATAAAGAAGAAAAAAAAAAAGAAAATTGAAGAAATAAATAAAGAAATAATATTATACCATATTTTTTGTTTCATGATAACGATATGTCTCGACAAATGTTAAAAATCTCGTTTTGTTCTCCGAGACATTGAATATAGTTGTATGTTTCTTCTTCACGTGTGCATATATCATACGATTATTGTGTTTAACATTACTCGGCGGGCCGGGTATCTTTGACCGTGTAATAAATATACCGAATATCGATCGGGATATACATATTCGCGTTAAGCATGTAACGAAAGCAAACCACGCGCATACTTACGCATACAAATCTCGTTTCTGCATTTCGATTCGGAAGACCTTCAGGAAGGCCGAATAGAAGCTGAAGAGAAATGGCGCTATAGAGCATTTTTTTTTTTACAAGACAGAGTCTCGAACCGATCAATTTCTTCGTTTTTTTCTCCCCCCAGATGTACTCGAGTGAAATTGCAACATATGTACGTGTACATATATATATACAAATCTTGTTCTATATACGTACTTGTATAGATGCACTTACAAAGTTATTTCTAGAGTGACTTCGATCGAGATAAAAGAAGAAACTCGACATTATTATTTCAGTTTCGATCGCGCGAATTAAGCGAGAGAGAGAGAGAGAGAGAGAGAGAGAGAGATTACATGCGAAGAGAGAGAATAATTATTATAAAGGTCTTTAAAAAAAAAAAGAAGCGAACGATGGCGAATTATTTACGCTACGCGATGTGTGTCAAACTCATCCATACACACACACACACACACGTAGAGATACATGTACGTATACATCCGCTGTGCGATTGAATTTACAGCTCCTCCGGGAGTTTGTGTATTTTGACAGATGGGGTAGGGGGAGGGGGAGGGGATCGTCTCGTGTGCGACGCCGATTGTAAAAGTACTTATTATTATTATTATTATTAAGTATATAAGCGAGTAACACATTATTTATTGCGGTTAAAGTGTGGTGAATTCTAGGGAAGTTATTGCAATTACGTTTCGCCGAGTGCAAGACAAGAGTTAATAATAAAGAGAAAAAAAGAAAAAAAAAAAGGAATTTGTTTCTCACGACGTGCGCAATTAATTAATACCGAGAATAAGAGCGGTACTTAATGATGATATTAAATAACTAATAATTTATATGAAAAATGGAAGAATAATTAATTTCGATTTTTATTAATTTTTTCTCTTTCGAATCTGCGAAAATCTAATTAATTCGCAGTGTTAAAATAAATAAAATGCACGATTATTCGCAAGTGACGAGCAAGAAAAGAGTGTAAATCGATGTTTTTTTTTCCATTTTTTTAGTCCGCTCTTTTACATTTTTTTCGACTTCTCGAATCACTTGTTCATTGTTATTTATTTTTTTTGATTAACTTTTATGTATATCATTCTCACGATAAACGCATGAAAACGCTTTACGTTGTTTCTTTTAATTATTCAATTTTCACGATCCACGAAAGAGATACACGAGAAATGTCTCTTCATTCCCGAACGATGATTATCCAGACATTGTTGTACACAATATTTAATTAGTTAATTACATATACATAGCAAAATTATAAATATATATAAAATTATAAATTATAAATATGGAATATAAATGCAAATATAAATATGAACATAAACATAACTATAAAAAAATGAACATATATAAATATATATAAATATAAATATATAAATACAAAATGCAAATATAAATACGATTATAAATATAAATATAAATACGATTATAAATATGATTATAAATATATATATATATATATATATATATATATATATATACATATATTATATCCCGTTATAATTAATGCAGTGAAATATTTCTTGTATAATCAACCCTTTTTCCGTAAAAAATACTCTTGTCGAAATAAACAAAGTACATAAAGCATGCTGTACTTTGCTTAATTTAAGAGATATTTTGCAGCATTAATTAAAATGGGTTACTCCTGTGTATGTGTAGGATATCTTGAAAATTGTGTATCTCTTATTTTTGTTGAAACATAAGGTTGGATATTTCATTAATTAAAACACGATTAAATTTGTCGTCGAAAAGATTAAAGGATTTTGGCTAATTGAAGGCTTCTGAAGGGAAAATGCGTGTATATATACCTTAATAAATATACATAAATCTTGTTGATTAATCAACGTCCGATAAATTTTAACAGATATATTTATTTATTTAGAAGCCTCGCAATTGCGCCAAAATTATTTAATAATATTGCAAATCAAAAGAAAAACAAAGAGTGATACCAAAAGTTCCGGAGGAGAGAACTCGAGAAAGATTTGACTGCATCTTTAATATATGTCAAAGAATGCGCAACTTCCAAGGCATCTTATATGTATATGCTTATGTACATGCACGTGACGTTATATATATACATGAATAACGTAGCTTTAACGTATTTAAGGAAATCGATAATCCGATGGTCGAGAAATGCTTAAATATTTCCTTCTCTCTCGGAAGGGATATATATAAAATTATATCACACGTTACGTTGATAATTTCATGATAATCGTTGATTTAGGATAGCGATTGATAAAAGTGACCGATGCGAGCTAATTCGCTCGACATTCAGAGATTCGTCTAGCTTCAATTTATATAGCGATAAACTTTGATATTAACACGTTGATTACCATATATCACGTTATCGCGATCTCTGACCTACATGAAGGATCAGCTGTTTTTTTTTTTTTTTTAGGGGAATCCCCCTTTTCTGGATCGCGAAATTCGGATCGATCGTTCCGATCATTTTTGATTCCAATCTTTGGAATCAACGTGTTAATGACACAAAGTGTGTTGACAATTCGATGATAGTCATCTGCGAGTTATTCACACTTAGCGCGTAGCTTAATAAGATTTAGTTTGTATAATTAGTGAGAAAAAAAACAAAAAAGAGAGAGATATAGTGTTCCACAAACTAGCATTCGATCCTTATTTGTTATTTATCGAGCAGGCTTCGACGGTAGAGTATGTAATAAAATAAAAAAAAAAAAATATTTAAATATATAACAAAGAGACGACGCGAGAGAATGCCGAGAGCGAACTTCCGCCGATATACATATAAATACATATATTTTACGTACACGTGTGTACGTAAAAGCGCTTCTCCTCCGTCGTGGATCTTCGACGAGATCTAGCGATCTAATACGCATAAGTTTTGTGCTTGCAAGCCGCGAGTTTGAATGCATTCGTAAACGACACAATTAAGTCATTTCTACCGTAATCTTCAAAGCACACAATTATTTTTTAAAGAAAAACATTATATTTTGCATTTTCTGTGAAAAACATTTATTTCATCAATTTATTATATTTAATCTTACTATTCATTTTAATTTTTCCATAAAAAAGTCAATAAAATAAATTTTCATCGAAATTACGATGCATTTAGAATTAGAAAAATATATTAATTCCTAAAAATAGCACACAGGATGTAAAATATCCTCTGGATGTCCTCCGAACATGCTTCGGACATGTTGCGCTGTTAGGGATTATATATATATAATTTATTTATTTATTTACTGCATAGATTATAGATTGAGAAATATTAAAAAAATGGAATAATGTTCTATTTAATTAAATATCAGTATATATGACTTAAATGCGTCGTAAAATGCATACTGCAATGGCGGATGCACTCATCTCCAGTGCTGTTTTATACACGCGAAGATGCGATCTGTCGATCCTCGCCACGTTGAATTGTTTTTAAGCTGCGAACGAGAGATAGAGAGAAAATGTGTGTATGCGTGTGTGTGTGTGTGTGTGTGAGAAAAAAGAGAGAAAAAAGCTCTTATACGTCGCTCGACGATGTCACCGCTGGACAAAACCGGACGTCCGATTGTTTCGGGCAATTATAATATTATATATATATACATATATATATACATAACATTGACGAACTTGTAATTACACACACGACTCTAGAGAACGATTCTAACTATTATCTTGTAAGAATTACTTACTTAATTTAGGACCTCTGTACAAACTATAACAGGTCCGCGTTGAAGGAAAAGGAAAAAACAAATACTACTGTGTATAAGAGAACAGAATATTTATAAGAAACTAAAAAAAAAAGATATCTTTCACTACTTTCAGCACTACTTTCAACATAATCATTGTAATAGCCACTCTCTTTAAAGATCGTAAAAAAAAAAAAAAGAAAGAAAAAACCAAACAGATTTCGTTATCACAGCTCGAGCTTCGTGCGAATTTTTCCGCCCCCTCCCGCTCACCCCCTATATTATATATATTATATATATATATATAATAAACTGACTTCATGGAGGATATTTATACAACTGTAAGGATATCCTACCGTAAAAAAAGGAAATGCTATTGAAATAATCGCGTAAGAAGTTATTTTTCTCAATGTTAACTCTTGTGGATGACAAAGCGTTACTTTTTCTGTATATTTCTGCCGAGCAAAACCATTTACTCATCGCACGCGCGTCATGTATCGACTTTGATATAATCGTGCACTCAATTATATCTGTCTGTCGAGATGTAAAATCCAAGTCGAGCGGATAATATGAAGGATAAATGATGGACGTCGACGATCCGCGAGGAAAAAGAATTATCGCGATTGCGCGCCATGCGTTTTCATATATAAAAGAAAATAATTAAACCAAAAAAAAAAACAAGAGAGAGAAGGACACCATACAAAGTCGGCAAATGAGCGCTGCTGCAAAACTTCGGAGTCCAAAAGTTCTCGAGGTTTTAAGGGATTTTTATGTACTTACCCGAACTTAGACGACGGGACAATGATTGAATTAAAAATAATAGTACATAGTTGAAACCTATATACAATGACTCTGTGGTATCATTATTTCATTCATTCGTTGCTCTCTATCTCATCACACATTCACACACACATGTATGCACACTTGCGCGAGAACTTCCTTCTTTCCTTCCGGTTGCCAAAAACTGTGATTCTATGAAAATTTGCAATAAAAATGAGAAAGTATTGTGATGATAATTTATTTAAAAAAAAAAGATATTGCTGCTATTTCATAAAATTTTATATAGGAGGAAGGACTCTGCGAAGTTTGTCATCACTTAAATAGTAAAAAATATACTGCTTAACGTCACGAGTTCAATTGAGAATTAAAAAAAATATTTATATATACCTTTTAGAATTTACGACACTAGCACACACGTATTATCTGAGGAACTCGCATAGGGGCTTATTTTCTTTCTTCAATCTTTTCTTAAGAACTTGAGAGACTGAGAGCCTTTTTTCTGTCAAAAGTAAAGAAATTAGATTCAAAAGCACATTCTATTTTAACAATCGAATCCTTGTATAATTTATTTTTTCGCATTCCTATCGCTTGGAGCATGTAAAGTAAGGAAATTCGCTTCCTAATGCATGTCATCATCATCAAAGAATGATGAATGAAAGCAGCGCAAGAGAAGTGATAAACAATAGGAAAGCAGAGAATAAACAATGCAAGGATTGATTGTATTCGCCTTTTATCATACATATAAAAAGAAAAATATATTTAAATTTGTATCACCTTCAATATCTCAAGGTATTAGGCAGCGGGCTAATATCCCAGCTTGATCAACGACGTCACTTTGCTGCTTGGACGTAACGAGACTAGTCGCACTGCACGAGTTCCTTTTTCAACGTTGGATTTATCACGAAGTCGTCATCAATCTATCAAGGGAGGAAAATATTATTTTTCAGTATCAAATTATATTCAGTATTAATTTAACTTCTATTAATTAAACTTCTATTAATTAAATGTTAATGTTAATAGTTAATTAAATCTGTGTTGTTAACGATTACAATAAAAATATATATTTATATTTAAGACCATAAAAGTATAAAAGAAAAAAAAAGATGTTAATAGTGCCATATCTTTTTGTAGAGAAATACATATTAAGAAATCTATATCTTACGCATATATATATTTATAGAAAACTTGCTCATGTAGTTTTTTAAAATAGATATAATATATATATTTTAAATAAATAAATAAAATTGTTGAAATAAATATATAAATATGCTATTAAAACAACAGAGGAAAAAAATATAATTTAATGCTAATATTAATATATTCAATGCATATCACAAATATACTTTTAAGGATTAACATACCTTAACTATTCGTAATACCAAATTTGACACAATCATAAGAATCGCTCTAGATCTCTCTGAATATCCGTTATTCATCACCATTCAAACGTTGCTGCAATTATCTCTGGAATTTCATCACGACGTCAACCAGATTTCTATCATATTGAAGGATCTGAAAGGACAATAGGTCAAGGTCAAGGAACTTTCAAGTAGTTCAGTCGTCTAATAACACTTACCAAAATGTTCTACAGCTTCTACCACTATTGTTATTGTCGAACATGACAAAATATTGCTTGAAGGAAGACTAGCCAAGTCCCTCGAGGCAAGTATTGTATTTATATAACTGATGCGATCTTCGTACACTTTGGATTATACGATTTTGTAGATATTTTCTTCCTCGACGTGTTCTCGGTTCTTCGCTTGTGCTAATGATGCGTCTTCTGATTCCATAATTTTATATCGATAAAAGCATATTGCTCCAGTAAATTGCTAGGTGATTAACAATTTTCAAGATGTAGAATCAATTTTTATGATAAAAGAAAAATATTAATTTCTCATCGAGAGCTATATATATATATATATATATATATATATATATATATATATATATATATATATATATATATATACTATCAAGGTCTTTTAGGACAATTTCTCTCTTAAGAATATTTCTTGGAAGTACAGGACTCATCAAAGGTGTCGGTGTATCCGGATGTGGTAAGATATTTAATATCAATGCAATTGTTTTTGCATATTATTTATCTTTTTACTCTGTTACAGGTACTCATTGTTGGATTCAAGTGCCATTAACTGTCAAAAAACGCAACAGCGTTTTTCATGGGAAAGTTTAATAATCACATTGTATTTGAATGCCGATAAATCATCAGAGAGATTTCTAAGCAAACTTTTCTATTTCATATTGTTTAATAATTATATATACATATATATAAATACATATATATAAATACATATATATGTATATATATATATATATAATTAAAAAATATGTATATATATAAAATTTTTAAATGTACTTTGCAATGAACAATATTATTAATTGTAAATAATAAACAATAAAACAATAAATAGTTGCATATAAGTAATTAAAATTCTGAAAACGCCGATACGCAATGTGGCTCAACATGAACAATTGTGTAATATTTCAAACATTTTTATATATGTATGTATATCGCATAAGAAAATTCTAACAAAATAATCAGAATATAATTATCTCAGAAATATAATAAAGTAAAAATACACTTTCTACAAAAAGAAAAAACATTTATAAAATTCTACGTTACATAATTTGTAATGTGAAGTAAGAGAGTAAGAAGTTTATCTTTGACGTTGTCGAAAATTAATTCAACTTTCGATTTGCAACGCGGGTTGATAGGAGTTGCTCTCTCCGGTGTCGGCGACGTCGACCACGAATTTTTGCAATATCGCATAAAGTCCAGCACCGAGCAGTAACATGCCGAAGCCTGTCAAAACCACTATGGCCCAAGCAGGTATAGCTGTACCCCTGAAAAAAATAATTTAACGAATATTTAGATCTCGATTCTCGTATCTTTTACACATTATTTACTTCATCAATATTTTTACTTACTGTAGTAACGCCTGGTTATTGTCTTTCGACCCCTCAAAATTTTGCGCCTCGCTTCGACCTCTTCCATGAATATGCCCATCAGAACTGTTTGATGTTGTTCAGGAAAGAAAGATTTGCAGTTCATTTTTTATGGGATCTATTGTAACTTACATGCTATATCACACATGTAGAACTGATTAATAAATGTATGCGAAAATAATAACTGAACATCGTGTTTAAAAATTGATTATTGTTCAACTATATAATCATTTCTCTTTTGAGAAAATTTTCATCTTATTTTCAATCAATCAATGACACAAAGAGTGATTGCTTTTACTACTGATTAAAAATAATTTATCGCCGTTTCTTTCACATGCACATTAAGATTAAAATTATTTCTTGTTTTTCTTTTTTACTTACGTAAAGCGATAGCTAAGTAGCACATAAACTTTTTCGAATACATTTTTCCCGAAAAATATTGATGCACACTGGAAAAAAAAGAAACACAAGCTTCGTTTTCGCAGTTAACTATACCGCAGGTCTAAGTAAGGCGTACTGAATCACACCTTAGATAAGAGATACGGATAACTGAGTGTACGACGGCTTATCTATTTCGAGATAGTGAAATACATTTTTGTTCGTGCACACATTATCACGATTTCTATGATCTCGATGTTGCATGAATGTAGAACAATGTTCACATTCTGAGAATTACGTATCTTCCAAAGTCAGCTATTATTAACACACTGACATATATATTTGCAAATAATTTTTTATAAATAATTATATCAACATAAGTGCCTCCGAAGTGACAGGATTAAGGATTCATAAAGGATGCGAGTTTCGATAAAAGATATGGCACTTTTTCACATCCGTTGATTCTATAATGACTTTTTATTGACCCGAATTAAGGAAACTGAACTTACATCTTTAGCAAATTACTACGAATCTGCAATTTCAAATTGATCGATGGTACAATAAAAACGAAGAGGCAAATGAGAGGAAACGATCTCGATGAAATGCCTTTAAACTTAAACAAAACTTTACAGAGTATAATAAAAACGACGATTCTCGAATCTTAAATAATAAAATATAACAATCTTAAATATAATTTCCTAATATATATACGAAGAGGAGCTTAAGAGACAATGAATGAGAAAACGAAGGCGGGGGAAGAACAGTCTCGAACAAAATTAAACATAAAAATTATAAATAAAACGTTAAATAATCTAAATAGTCGTACATCAACTTCATCGTGTTAGACTAGAACTATTTTTTTCTTTCTGATTTTCTTTTTCTTTTCTTTTCTCATTTTTTTTTACGCTCACATTTTACGCTCGTAATTATAGCGAATCATCGCACATTCCGGTGACTTTTCCTTTCTTTTCTCCCTTTTGGTTTCCCTTTCGCAATGCGTGAAACAAATTTTCAAATACGTGACTCACACACGAATATTTAATTGTAATCAAATGTAAATATAGCTGGCACATATACAAGGCATCCCAAACATTTCGGCGGCTTTTCGCCTATTTTTTCTTCGCCTCTATTAACATACTCATTTACACTCCTTAACGAGGATCTCTCTAATCCCAAGACACCTCTGCCGTCTTTTCTCGCAAACTCATTCGTTTTAGCACCGTAAATTTCTAAGAGTCTCCTTATCCTTCGCCAAACGAGAGAAAGAAATCGATCGACGTACAAGAAATACATATACGGGCACTTTGCTAGATTGAATGATGACCTCGATATATATATGTATATATATACTTTTCTTCCGTATCTGAAGAGGATCATGAGAGAAGGGTAACAAAGAGGAAAACAACTACTGACAAATATTTAAATACCACTCCGCAGCATCTTACTAACTTACGTGACTCTTAATTGTTAGACTGATCTCTGAAAATCTCTTTTTTGTCATTCTTTTTGTTATCTTAAATGTGCATCGGTATAAACATAACTTTATACACAGAAAACAACAACTCCCTGATCTTAAATAATACGTAAGAATCATTAAACGGAATAAACGAATAATAATACTGTATATACACCGTCTTACGATGCACTTTAATTATCGATCGAACTAAACAATAACGATAATTAATATCCATTGGAACAATACTCGAGAGTAAACACGTTCTAATCAGAGTCCTCTTCCGCAATATATATATCTCTCAAAAAAAGTATAGGAATGAAAAGAGGAAGATCTACCTTCGACGAAAATCTCGACAAAAGATTGATCGTAAGGATAATGCATTTCTTTCTAAATTTCTATGCTTTACAGGCTATGTGCTAAGAAAATCCATATACACTAGACATAGTCGTCGTAAAGATTTCATCTAGATTTGGATTTGTTTTTTTTCTCCTAAGCTATTTTCCCTCTACACGTTTTTGCGATTAAAGTCACTCCTCATAGTTTCTCGCTTGAGAATATTCGTGGTACAATGTTGAGCCGTCATAAGAAAGATTCTTGCGGCTCGATAGAGAGCGTAATTCCAATTTTTTGCAAACAAGCGAATCTCGAGCCTCTGAGCGGTCTGGCTAAGCTTCGTTTTCGATCAGCTGCCTGGAATAAAATTTCTGAGATAAAAGTTCGTGGTAGAAATCCACTGAGATTCTTCGTAAGAACGATTGATCGCGAGTACCTTTCTTATAAATGTCCAACAATTTACTTGGATGGCATAGTAATTCCAAAAAATATACATATATACATGCATACATATACGTATATTAATATACATATGTATGTATATATGTACATATGTTTCGACGGGAATAATCGATTTACAATTTCGACAATACATCACACATTACTGAAAGTGCAGTCATGAAAATGTGCTACGCAGAATTAACACGCTATTATTATCTTTTAAGATTGCAACGTTTCTTTTCTCCTCATTAGTTCGGCATATTGCTACTGGTCTTTATCTCTCGCCATATTTTCTTCTCCACATTGTTTCACAGAATGGCAAATTCTGCTTATCTCTCCTTCTCTTTCTGCGCTATATTTTATATTATATATATATATATATATATGTTTTTATTACCTCATCGAGATTTTAGCTAACTTTTCATATTTGTCACAGGCAACGCAATATCTTTTATACTTAAAAGTATGGAACTAAATGCAAGAGGAGCTTTATATAGGTCTTCTTTTTTTCCTTTTTGTTTCGATGTCGAATTAACGCGATAATTTTACAATTTGTCTTGACAATATATTAAGTTTTTGTGTATATGTATCTCTGTGTTTGTATGTGTGTGTGTGTTTGTGTGTGTATGTGTGTTTGTATGTGTATGTGTTTGTGTGTATTGTGCAAAAGAATACGTTCTTTTGTTCGTTATAATCACCGCGTTTATGCTCTCTCTTTTTTCCCTCTCTATTCATAGTTACTCTTAGAATAATTGTCCTTAGTTGTGGAGCAACACGGTAAAGCCACGATATTTCTATTAAAAATTATCGCGTCATTAATAAAGATTATCGATAGATTATATCGCATGTATATGTTGCGTGTCAGCATACGTTTGTGTGATTTGAAATTCCGTATACGATAAATTACTGAAATATATATATATATATATATATATATATATATATATATATATATATATTAAATACATACATATATATATAAATACATATATATATATATATATATATATATATATATATATATATATATATATAAAATATATATATTACCGAACAATCGTATAATAATTTAAACGGGCTAAGCGCTTCGATTTATGTTTACTTTTACCTTGTGGCTAGCTGGTGTTTTGGCTCAAGAGACCTTTTTTCGTTTCGCTCGGCGCCGCCGCAAAGCTATTCGTTGCGGAAGATGACGTCACTTCTTTAGTAGATTGATTGCCATTTAACGCCAGTTTTTTGTTACTTTCCTGCGTATTGCTCATGCCGCTACTGCTCTGATTACATTCTGTAATTTTACTGTTAACCGATTTGTTTGACATTTCTTGGCACTGATTATTCGTAGTATTGTTCCTTAACTCCATGATGTTTTCATTATTTTGCCATTCACTCGGCCTTTGGATTATATTCTCTTTAATGAGCACTCCCTTAAATATTGCCAAAGTCTTGCAGAGGGTTATGCAGAAACCGCGCGATGCCGGGATCAGCGGGAATTCAGGCAATACTTTCTCGTCTGTAAAAAAAAAAGGAATAACTATTATATCTTAAAATATTTATTATACATAATTATATTAATATTTGTTAGATATAAATTTATTATATATATATATATATATATATATATATATATTATTTTATATATATAATATATATTTTATATATTGTATGTAATTTTTATATAAAATATATATACAAAATATAAAAATATTATATATAAAATATTCGTTATTTAGGTAAGAAAAAATGTATTATATACCGATATCAGCGATTTCTTTAAACGTAGTTGGAGTGACAGGAGAGAGCGGATGTTGATTGTTGTGCTGCTCGGATATTTCCATCCACAGTTCGAGTCTCTGCAGCAGTTTCTCGGCATGTTTCTTGAAATGCGCGATGATAATGTCCTTGAATACAGGCGGTGGATGTAGCAGCAACTTGGTTTGCGCCTGCACCAGCTTCAGTACCACCATTTCGTTATACATCCTCGAGTTTTCGCGTCCCTGCTGCGAACCCTTCTGCTTCTCGAAGCCCGCCTCGTTAAAGTACGGCTCGCTCACGAGGATCAGACCCTGTATCGAAACGATCACTTGCAACAGGGTCGACGAACTCGTCCATACTTCCGTACCGCGACCGGACCAGGTCCCTAGCAGACTCACGCACACCTTCCCATCTTCGTACAGATTCGGATTCAACCGATCGCTGCAGTAGGAAATGTAATGGCAGAGAGGTGGCGCGGCTGGATAGTCAGCCGACAATTGGAAGTCGAAGAGGAAGAGGCCGTCCTCGTAGGGCGTTTTCTCGGGCCCGCGGAACATTACGGAATACAGATCTATACGGTCCTCGAATCCTTTCACCCATACACCCGGCGGAAGCGAGCTCTTCAGCAACTTCAATTCTTTGGAGACAGTCCTGAAGAAGTTGGTTGGATCGGTGGGCTGGAACATGGTCAGCTTGAATTTGTGACTATCGGGCGCGGTCTCCTCTATAGAGAAGCCTTCGCCCTCGGTGTAAACCGGCGGTGGTATTTCGACGGAACACTCGGACGGATCCGCCATCGTCTCCACGCGTTCCTCTTCTTCCTCGCCCTTCTGTTTCTTCCGCGGGGAAGTCTTCTCCGCGTCCGACAACGACATCTTGCCTAGACCGAACCTCCTAGACACTTCGGCGTGCGCCAACACGAGCTGCGCTTTGATCAGATTACACAACTTGACGCACACGTGTGACGCACACGTTCCGACGTTCTGAGAAGTTGCAAGGCTTGTCGGCACTTTTTTCACCCTGTTAGTTGTCTCTGCCTTGTCGGGCAGGCTCGCGACATTCGTCGTGGATGAGCATTCCGGGACGTTGTTAACGTCCTCGCTCATGAGGAATTCCCCGCTGGACTCGCTGGAACCCGACTCCTTCTTCGAGTTCTCAGCCGAATACAATCCAGAATCCTCGGGATTGGGACGTATGAATAATTGATTAACCGGCTCCTCGTCCTCCTGCTTTTTGGTATTGTTCTCGATACTAGTAGTATTGTCAATTTCCGATCTATTAATGATTGTAGAGACTTGCTCCTTCTCCGATACACTAATTGCACATTGCTCATCGCCATTTTTCGAATTCTTTAAATTATCCAGCGATTCTTCCGGATATTCCGTTTTAGGTGTGAAGAGTCTCGTCACTTGATCGGCCATGCGTTGCGCGACATTCGCTCTACCGCGTTCTCTCACCCGCTCGAGGAGTCCTTGGAAGTGGCATTCGTGAAAGAACGAGGTGCCCATCAATTTGTCCATATAACGACAGTCTTTGTAGACCTCTAGAAGTTTCCTCATCACTTCTGTTGTCTGCAACGATGGGTTTTGCGTGAAGATCTCTTCCAATCTCGACATTGCGATTCTGGCCTTCTCGATGTGTGCCGCTAACTTTGGTTTTATGTTCTCCAATTCTGTCTGCTCAGTACCATCATTATCGGCGATAAAGCAATCCTCCAGTTCCGTTTCCCATGATGAATCGGATGAAACATCATCCCACAGTTCCCCTTCGTCACTGTCGTATTCCCCGACCTTGTACAGATCTTGCGGCCAGCACATACTAACATGACCGTCGACCCACCATACTTTCACTCGTCCCTCCGGGTAATTGTCCAACACTTGACCGGCGGTGCATCCAGCGTCCTCGCCCTCGAAATTCGCTATTCGAATCACTAGGGTTCCCGGTCTGTACTGGAAATCCGGATGATCCTTCAAATCGTAAACGCTCACTTCGCGTTCCTCGAGAAAGATCGGCCTAAGTAAGAAGATGATCGAACAAATTGAGTTTCACCATTTCCTTTGATTTATATTTGTAATTATTATCAGGGTTTCAAATGATATAACAAAATTCTCTAGAAATTCAAAGATGATGGAAAGTTTTGAAGAAACAAAAAGTCATTGGAAGCAAGTTCTTTTTTATTTATACTCACTCTGGATTTTGACTAGAAGTATATGTCCGAAACCACTTTATCTTGGCAGTACGGCCTTGATGATCGACACTTTGTACAACACCATACATTCTAGATTCCTCTTTTTGGTCTACGACAAAGTCACCTGGGAAAAATTCCTTATCATCCAGATGATGAATTGGGTATAATTGTGTTGATGGTATGCCTAAAAAAAATATATAGCATTTAATACCATATGGCATGAAAAAACAAAAAAAAATATATATATATACATAATTTTAAAAAATAAAGTTTTAATTATTGTATATGTATATATAATGAATTGAAATTATCTATTCTCTTTAATAATATATCAATAAATTCAACAAAAAATTATGATAGTTATGAGAAAACTCATTATTACATATTTCGAATAAATATAATTTATGATACAACTAATAAATATTAATCATAATATTAATACCAAATTCTACTGAACCATCTTGCCACACAACATTAGCTTTTGTATTAGTGGACAAAGTTTCTACAACTATCTTTGTCCCAGGAATTAACGGAACAGGTGGTACTTTCTTTTTTGCTTTTCGCAACTTCTTTTTCTTCAGCACTTTCGTCATCAATGCAGGACCCTTCTTTTTCTTTCCCATTGACGACATGCTGGAGCAGCCGCTAGAGACCTATGGAGCGCATCAATCATTTCTTTCTTAGATCTCACTTTCTTAGAATTGAAGAAAAACAAAGAGAGAAAAAAAAACAAATGAATTACCGAAGCGGTATCACTTTGCGAGCCCGTGGTATCTTCGGTATCCCACTCGTCCGAACTTTCGGGGTGCTGATTTTGAGGCGGCGGCATCAAAGTGTTATTACTCACAACATCCTGCGAGTGAACGCCATTACTTTGACTGCCCTCTTCTACCGATCGTTGATCGAACGTTTTATCCTTTCTCTGCTCCTTTTTTTTGTCATCCGGCAGCTTCGTCACCATAATATTCAGACGCGTCTTCTTCGGACTCTGCTTAGGAACTTGGTAGATATCCCTCTGCTGTTTTCGCCACTGCTCGCGGGTGATAACGTTTTCGTTTCCCTTAATAATGTAAAAATTGCGATCGCCGACCTGCACCGTCGAAGGCTCGAACACATTGAGCAGTTTCAACTTCTTCAGATCTTCACCCTCGACCACGAATTTTGGTTGTGCTTGATCGGACCAGGCACCGTCCTTCGAATATGCTCGACACTGCCAGTGCACGCCGACCCAGTCGGTCTCCACTTTCTCCACAATTACTTTCGTTATCTTTTGCGGTTTCAATTTTCTCTTTGCCTTCATTTCCTTAGTGCACTGAATCCACTGCGCATCCTCCAGACAATGAACAGGGCCCCACAGGCTTTGACCAGGGTAGAATTCGGTAGAATGCGGAAAATCATTGTCCTAAAAGAGAATGTTTGTTATTCACATCTATAGAATTTACATGAATAATTAGTTATATTACGTTATCTCGAGTCTCTTCTAGTTGTCCCAACACACAGGAATCCATCTCGTTTATGACACAATGCGATCCGTCCGGTGTTACCAACCATAATTTAAAATGTGTCATTCTAATGCCACCAACCCAAGAATCCATACAGACTGCCATATCCGTTGCAAATTCCTACAAACGACAGCTTATTGTTTCAGTATACAACTAAATATGTCAGTTATATCTCACTGCAAAGATATCATATCCATGTACCTGCAATGGAATTAGGTCTTCGCTCTTGATATTTGTAAGCACCTGTTTGGTACCAATAACTTGCACGCACGCAGTCAGTTCAATATCTCTGCAGTAACCTCTCTGTGTATCTTTACCCCTGATCATCCTACGTACTACGTCTCCAGGCATGAGGGTCCTATCAGCCAGGTGAACCTGGAAGTGAAACGTCGTCAAAACCTCAAAACATCTCATCCTTTAATCGCAATCCAGTGCCGCAGCGAAAGATATTTCACACTGCCAATAAGCTAAGTAGCATGAAAGCTGCAAAACGCCAGGATACAAAAGAATCTCAATCGATCCTTCTCGACGGAATAAATCGTAATGAATTGTAATCGCAATTACCTTCTTACAGTTGACCAACTCCTCGACACCGGACGGATGCCAGATCATGCGTATCTCGCCCTTCTTCCGCTTCGGCAGGCTCTCCTCGCTGTCGGAGCTCTCCTCGGACATGTCCTGGTCGTCGTTCTCCATGACGATGCCGAAGACGACGTTGCCCCGTTTGTCCACGCGATAGACGACATCCTCGTAGAAGTACTGATTCTCCGGCGCGACGTTCGCCGCGGCAGCCATCTTCCCTGCCTGGCCCGACCTGGCCTGGTCTGGCCTGGCGTTCGACTATGCTTCACTGACCCTCCACTCCCCTAAGTCTAGCTCACCGCTCCCTTCGGCGAGACCGGACCGGACGGTGATGGACGAGTCCTGCTGCTCCGCTGTAGCTACCCGAGGTGGCCGAGCATAGCCGACAGAGTCGAAGGATGCCGAGCGCCGCCGGGTTGAGCCGACGACGTTGACAGCAGACTGGACGGAGCTTTTAAATATTCCGTCAAGATTGCGCAGCGAGGCCCCCCCTTGGCTTAGGGATCCTCTAGTAGCGAGGGATGGGACGAAGACGCCATTAATGGGATAGCGGAAGTGGGATAGCTTTCATTTTTACGCGCCATTTCATTGAGAAATCAGAATTTTTATTTTTATTATTGTATTGTACTCTTTTAAGAGCAATATAACGTAAAATAATATTTTTATTTATATTATTTTTTTAAATGCATTAGTTATTTCATTTTCACTGAATTAATTAATTAATTAATATTTTACTTGTTATTTATATAATTTTATTTAAATAATTTTATTTAATAAAAACAAAATTTGTATGTAAAATATAATCACAAATGATAACATAATTTTGACTTGAATTAGAACAATTCAAAGCTTCATATAATATCGCATTTTCTAAATAAATTAATATTTATTAATATTAGTTAATTTGATGATTTATAGTTGAGATTACTCGCTCTACCACATATATTTTCATTTCAGTATTAAATGATTATATAAAAATAGATATGTATAAAAATATAAATATAAAATCATATTCGGTATTTTTATAAAATACTTACACTTTAACAAAAATACACAAATGATCTTTACTAAAATATACTCAAAGCGGAAATATCCCATTAATGGCGGACGACCAATCCGCATCCTGCAGCATCCCTTATTAGAGGATCCCTCCCCCTTAAGGCGGCATTCTCACGTGTCCGATAATTTTGTTTCGAGTCGATCGGCGATTAGCTGCAGTCGAATAGGGAATTTTTCGAACATAATGAGCGGCCAATCGCTTCGCGACGAAGCCACGTGACGCGTCACGTGACATCTGTCAGAAACGTCAAGTGAAATGTCACCCTAAAAGCGCGCGCTCGCGCTCCTTGACATCGTCGAGCAAAACACGATAAGATGATGGATGAGGAAGAAAATATATAATGTAAGCATGTACTCGCACGATTGATTTGCGCTTTAAATATATTGTCCGTTCTGTCACGCGAATCTGTACGTACTTGGATGTCATTTTGTATCTTCCACGCGCGAACGTTATTACATGGTAACGTAATATTGCTCCGTTTTCTCAAAGTGATCTCTCCAATTAAGTTTTTTTTTTTTCATTTTGATTTTCTCATCGAACGAATCTTTCTTATTTTGCACGTATTTGAGGTTATGATTGTGAGATCTCGTCGAGTATTAAATTGCGATGTATTTTTTCAGGTACATATCCGACCACAAAAATCTGTGTAATTACTCGTCGATAATATTTTGGGTGGATATAAGATTCGAAAAGCGAGTGACACACTAAAGTATATAATTATGACATCGGCGATTGAAATTTTGGCGAAGCAGGCGATGAAAACGTTCGGCGAGAGCCGGCTCTGTCAGAAGAGCCTAGACAAACTGTGGAGTCTGATGAACAAAATCACTGCCGAGGATGTGAGACTCGATAAAAACATTCTCGATTATGTCAGCAGACAACCGGCGCCTATGTGCGTGATGGATGTATTTGAAAACAAGGATATAACAATCGCGATTTTCATACTGAAACACGGAGTCATGATGCCTATGCATGATCATCCTGGAATGCATGGCTTGTTAAAGGTAAAATACATTTCAACGATGCACAATGACACATTGTAAATAAACGTGTTGTATACAATACTTGATATATGTTCATAAATTATAATAATATATGTATCACTTACGTAACAGGTAATCAGTGGTGCAGTGGAATTAAACAGCTATAGTTTGAGGACGAAGAGTGATCATGTAATTAAGTTGAATGAGGAGATTGCAGCAGTCAAGCATCGTTCAATGTCTCTTCACAGTAATTCGCCCGCTTGTATTCTCACACCATCAGAGAAAAATCTGCATGAAATCTCATGTATAGAGGGCCCCGCAGCTTTCTTAGATATACTCAGTCCGCCGTACGATGTCGACGAGTTCGGTAAAGGACCAAGACCGTGTACATTTTTCAAGGTTGTTAATTTTAATTTGTGTACAGAATCAGCAGATGTTGAAGAGGTACAGTTGTCCATCATAGAAAGTCCTCCAGACTTTTATTCTTCTTCTCTAAAATATATTGGACCTTCATTGAAAGATTATTATAACAAATAATTTTCTTCATTTTCCATTTAAAAAATTTTGCATTTGTCAATAATTTACAGTGTATATAAGAAAGTATATATAAATGCATCAAAGACTTAAATTTTGTTGATGTATGATAATCGATATCATACAGTAATATCGGTGAGCTTGTCGGGACCAAACAATGTCCTTATTGTAAACTTTCTCTGTAGTCCTGACTTTTTTATTCCGATATCACATATTCAGATTGAAAATATCATTGTGTATTCTTGTGTGACGTGTTTTTTTTTTTGCTCGAATGTCACATTAGAGTAGATAAATGTGAATATGTACATACATAGTGACAAGAGCAAATAAAAAGATTAAGCATTCATCAACTTGAATAACAACAAATAGATAAGTTTATGGATAACAGAGTTTAGTATATGGACATTCAATTATATCATTAAAATAATTGCTTCTATTGTGGCTAAGATAAAAATTTTAATCCAAGCATAGATAATTTAACAATCGTCTATATACATACATATATTTAGCTGTTATTTATTTTCTTAATACGCAGCATTATACATAAACATTTTTCATATACTTTAACAAAAAGTATACTTTTTAAAAGTTGACTTTTTAAATATTTTAAATACTTTTTTATATCTTTGGGTTTTGAATTTTCAAACATTGATCATTGATGAACAAAAGTAAATTGTAAATTAAGTTTCTATTCATAAATTTAGAAAAAGATGATATCTCTCATTTTGACAACATACAAATACAAAGAAAAGTCACAAAAAAAACCGAGTGTTATAACGTTAAATATGTAAAACATATAAAGCAATATTATGATTTAAATATTAATAAATTATTTGTATATTAGAAATATCATAAATAATTAGTTATAAACAGAATGTGTATATGTGGGTTATCTTCAATACAATGTTGTTTTTAAGATTTAAAAGGGCAGTTTCATGAGTGGAAAAAATATTTATATTATACCTTTCTAGATATCCCTTATTTTGAAAAACTAAGGTACTTAAAATATATATAGCATTATCTTATGTTAAGTATTTGCTAGAAAAATTGTACTTAATTAGTTGAACATCTATCTTTGCACATTATAGGAAAATCTATTCAATAAATGTATTTATACAACATGTAAAAAAATTACATTCCTTTAAAAACTTATTTTCCTAGAAATTCTACAATTTAGTTGTGTTTAATAATATTCAATGCTAACTATATTGATTTATTTACTTGTAATATTTACATCTAGTTTATTCAGATTTTCAATTAAACAGTCAAAAAATTAATTAACATTTCTTGTAATCTTATTTACAAAGTAAACTTGTAAGTATTCAATTATTGGACTGTCTCCATACTATTTGGTTATCTTTATTTATTTTGCAAGAATACAATTTATATATTAAGTTATTAGGAAATCAAATATATTATATAATGTACTTCACATTATTTTCCAAACAAAAGATTCTCTTACATACGGATATCTCTTATGTACAAGTATATAAATATAATATATTATATATATATATATTATAGTTATATTATATTAATATATTATATTGTATATTGTAATACTTGTATAAGGGAATTTTTATCTGAAAAATAATGTAAAATAAAATAATAAAATACACTCTTTCACATGGAAGTATATTATAAAATGCTCATTACTTGAAATTCTTTTTTCTTTTTATATCAATGAGTTAATTAGAATTAGAACATTCAAACAATCTTTATGTGATTATTGAATATATATACACATACTTGAATATTTGCGATTTTGAATATCACGATTCATCTTAATAGCACCATTACAAAATAAAATATATAAAGGAACAAATTTTGTTAAAGATGTAATACTGTAAAGCTGTAAATACTGTAAAAATAAAATACTTTAAAGATGTAACACTGTAAGCACTGTAAGCAGATATTTATAATTTTTTTATATTTGCTACAAGTTATTTCATAATAGCATTTACATGTGAGAAATTAGATTACAAAATATAGCCTATAAATCTTACTTCTAATAATGTAGACTTATATATAGATATATATATATATATATATATTATATATGTACGTGTAAATATATATGTATATGTAGATATATAATATAAATAATATATATGTATGTGTAAATATATACATATATTATTTATATGTGTTGTGTATATATGTATGAATGTGTGTTGCAAGCATATACATATATATACACAAGTCTAGAGTAAAGTCACAGTAAAGAGTTATAAATAACAAATATTTGTCATAGCAATTTGTCAATTAATTCTTTTCCCGTGATAGTACTTGCTTCTTGTACACTTTATGATAATATGAAAAATCCAATAATAATCTCTCTAAGAGATTAATTAAAGCTAGATGATTCTCTAATACGCGGGCAAAGAAAGAATCGTATAATTATTTCAATTTTCATATATCATAGAAGGAAGATTGCAGAAAGTATTATCGGTTTAATAATTATTAAAAAGTATTTCCCCCCTTTAAATGTTGATTTAAAGGAGATGTCATTTGTATTCAACATCCTTCACCTTTTTAGAAAATATAATCCTAAACTAACCACTGTGAGACACTGCTCATATACAATTCTTATTTTTATATAATCATATATATATATATATACACACAACTCTGTCTCCGTTATTTCACACCTGTATTATGATCATATATATGACACTGAAGAGAGATGTCAAATTTTTTTATACTCAAATGCTGCTAGAAAGTTAAGCTGCTTTACATTTGAAAAATTATATGCATTATTAATTAATTGGCATTTGAATATTCGTTGAGAATTTACTTAACTTCGATCACTTTCGGGGTCTTGCCGTCTATATAATGCTACATTGTTCTCCGTATAATCCATTACACGACGTTGACATTGTCTCTTGTATTGTTGTTGCTTGTGGTAAATCTTGAATGCACCTTTTATCGTTATAAAGGCTACACCGCCCTATAAATATAAAAAAATGTGAAATTATATACTATTATACACACACGTTTACAGTACTATTTATAGAAGTTGATAGATTATAATGTAGTAATTTAAACACAAGGTACTATAAGAAATAATAATGACATGATAGTAATTTTAATGACATGAGATTATTATATCTATGTCATTCGCAAAAATTTTCTTCTTTTATTATTTTCGCAATATTGTAATTGTAACAATACATACCAACAATGTTCTTTGAAAGTTAGAGTTTATGCTTTCGAAGAATAATCTTCCACATAAACTGGCGATAGTTGGCAATAAAAGCGCACCACAAAGAACACGCGTTGCGGACACTGGATCGTTCATTGGTGGTATATCTTCAGATTGCATACTTGTATCCTCATCGGAATAACTGTAACAGTCATACATTTTTGATAATTTAAAATTATTCTTTTATAATTTTTATTTTGAACTTTACTGAATACTTTGTTTTCTTTTCGCTGTTTTTTATGTTGTATATATTCATGACATATACTATTTAAAATACACTAAATATTTGAAAAAGCTATTCTATTCTAAAATTGAAATTAAATTTTACTCCTTTTTACTATAAAGTATAAATTGTATCGAGAATAACATCATTAATACGAACCTACTTGGTAGAAAATGCCTTAAAATAGGAACCTTGGATGCATGACGTCTTAAAAAACTAAGAGCTTGATCTTCCATCGAAGCATTTTTCCCAGAACTAACATAATTGGGATAGTTGGTAAGCCAACTAGTAAAACTAAAGGATCGGCCTGCTCCATCATGATAAGGCCGTCCTTGTGACCGACCACTTGCATAACAGTAACTGCACCATAAGTCACAGCTGTCCAATATATGGATCCGACTACTATACCAGCAGCAATGAAAGGACATACTCGGAAGATAACAGCATCAATCGTGTCAAGTACTACCACTAATGGACCTGCAATTGATTTGCACGTACCATACACTACATGCACAAAGGATATAAATGAGATGCTTATGTTTCTAAATTATATGATTATGGCTACATTCCCTTTGGACGCTTTCAGTGCTATACGCATCTTATGTCTTCGTTTGATATTCGATATGCAACAAAGACAAAAGATGCTTATAGCGCTGAAAATGTCAAAGGGAACGCAGCCTATGCTATTGATTAGTATGTACTCACCCATGTTTGGATAAACTATAATATATTCTGTGTTGCATTGCGGGCAGGCCACAGCATGCCCAGCATGACCCTTCTGCTTCTCATCGACCCATCTCTGTATGCAACCTGATGAACCCACTTTGTAGTACCTCTGCAATGACATGGTTTAACCCACGCTGCAGTTGCATCATCTTCATCGGTTGCAAAGCATACCCAACAGTATCGCTTGCTAGATAAAGAGATTACTGTTAATATGAAACAATTATACAGTAATAAACAATTTGTTATAAATTTAAAGAATAAAAAACTGAAAAATATGATATAAAAATATATTTTCCAGTCATGTCAAACTATCAAATCAGGATCATAAATGGAGCATATTACTTTAGGCTATTATTACTTGACTATTTCAGATAAACTTACTCTTCTTCCGGAGTTAATGATGGCACGCTAGATGTGATTTGATTCGGAGAGGATGCTCCATCAGTGATGTCGACGGACAGTTCTTGATCTGTTGTTGTATCATCATATGCATTCTGAGAACTTTCATCCTCCAATGATGCCATTCGTGCTACTTGAGGATCAGATACTTCTGCTATAAAAAGAAAAAATAAAAAGTTAAAGTTACTTTAACTAAACTCTAGTTAACTTACTCGATAACTAACTTATCAAATAATACTTGTACTTTATTAATAATTAGATACAACTAATAATTTTTTCTTGTCTAACACATGAAAATGGAGATTAAGAACAATAAATATAGTCGAAAAGTTGTGTACGAACAATTCTATCCCAGTAAATGGAGCGATCAAGTTAATCAACAAGTTTAATCAAAGCAACTCTAAGTGTCTCCAAGTTGCAAATCTCATAGAATATTGCTTTGGCTATATATTACCATTACTGGGCTCGCTTAGTTGTCTATCGGCTCTCAGATTTGTACTAAGTCTCCTTAGAGCTTCCTCTATACTTGGAAGACGTCTGATGTTCGCTCTGGTTATACCTGATTCTATTCGCACTATTCTTCCACGACTGTCGAGTCCATATGAGATATGCGGCATATCGTCCGACATCGTGATTCAGCAAAGCATTCACAAGCTCATCACCATCTTAAAAATACATTAAAATATTATTTATACATTTATATATTATTAATACATTTTAATCATTAAATCATTATATTTTTTTCATAGACTTCTCGAAAGTAAAAAATTATATAGAAATTTTAAATAAATTTGCATTTTAATATATTTTTTTTCCAAGGAGAAAGTTAATCAGATTGACTTCCAATAATTATTCATACATTCTTCATATCTGTACACTATAAAATTATACACAGCCGCGTTTTAATTCTGAAAATTATAAACCAGCCAAGGATTTTCGTGTCGCGCACAAACTACGTTTTAACACTTTATCACGCAAAAACGATTAATCTTACGAAAGTTTTCGCGCATGCTGTGCATAAATCACGAATGTCCATTATGCAACGTTTAATTTTACAGACGGTTTCGATTTCTTCATCAATAATTATTCACCGCGACAGGTCTTTCTCTAATCTTGACGCTTTATGTAACGCAATTAACAAATGCGATCTAAACGAACGAAATATATATACTTATATAAAGCGAGTGATTAATACGAAGGGAAAAACACACATCGGGGACTTTTCACCTTGATAATAAAGTGATCGTAGTGATCTGTCGAGCGCGATGGTCTCTCGTTGGACGAGCAAAAAAAATTAAGTGAATGCACAATAAAAAACGTTTAAATTATCGGGACACGTCGAGCCTACGAGCATAAAATTGTCAGTATTATTTTGCGAGTGTCCCCAAATTCGGTCGAGATATGACAGTGCAAAAAATCGTGGCGCTTCAAAGAGTGCAAAGAAAAAGAAGAAAGGAAAAGAAAAAAAGTGCTCTCCCGTAAACGTTTGTATACATTTCGTCGAACGACAACGCGACTGGAATATTGAAGTAATTTTGTCAATGAGTGTTTATATATATATATATATATATGTATATATGTGTATATATACCGCACACATGCCTCACTCGATATTTTCAGCTAACACTATTGCAAGATTTTTTTATTCATCCTTGTATCCTCGTTTCTTCTATTTATGTGGATATGAAGCAGGAGATTTCGACTTTATAGGCAAGATGAATTTATCCTTGATAAAGGATCGGCAAGAGTGACGGGCGAATTCCGAATGTAAAGTCACTAGATATACGGTGACTTTCTATTAATTACGGATTCGCATAAAGGCGAAAACGCAAAATGCACAAAGGAATTAACCAATCAGAATTCTCCGTTTCGTTGACTTCTAATTACGAAAATAATAATCGGTAAAAGCTGCGAATGTCAAGTATGTTCCAAATTCGCACCGATTTTCATTCAAGTTATTTTTTATTATTCACGAGCTCACTTTGGTGAATTAATATTATTTTCAATAAATTTTTCGACATCCAATAGAAAAGCTGGCTTTTTAGTGACTTTAGCTAGCAATATTTTAGAATCTAAAACGTAAGATTTTTTTCGAACATCGTAAGATTAATAAGTTTTTAATTAAAACAAATCGATCGAAATAATAATGCGCCATCAATGCGTCAGCTGTCACCTTCGCACCGCATTCCATTCCCCCCACTCCTCCCCTCTCGTTCTATCCCCACTCCTTCTCCCTCCCCATCTGCGCGCGCAGCGCATTCCACGCTACTGCGTCGTGCCGAAAATGTCGCGTCAATCGTCTCGATCGATATTTCGCGTACACGACTATCTAGAAAATTTGTAAATCATGGTGAAGTCACTAGATGAAGAAGAAGATGTACATCTAGTGATTTTAGTGTGGGCAACATTTTGTCGACGATGCCGTGTTTTTGTCGAAGGTTATGTCACTAAATTTCACCCACGTGAGAATATAATATTAATATTCGATATATATAATAATGTACTGTATATTTTTTATTTAAATTATTAATGACGATACAAGACATTAAGCCAGTCTGATTTTTGCGCATGATAAAGTTGGCGTAATCTGTCATTGCAGAACTGTCCTCGTATAAAATGGTTAAGGCTAAGAAGAAGAAGAACCTGTCCGATTTCGCGCAGCAGAAGCGGGCTCAAAAGGATGTAAAACAATTAAATCCGTTTGAAGTGCAGATTAATCGGGACAAGCAGAATGTCCTGGGTCGAAGGAAGAATAATGATCGCGGTCTTCCAGGAGTATCGAGGGCGAAAGCCATCAACAAGCGCAAGCAAACTCTTCTTCAAGAGTACAAGTTAAAGAACAAAGACAACGTCTTCCTGGACAAACGCATAGGCGAGAGGGATTCCACCATGAGCGTGGATGACAAGGCGATGGCGAGATTTACCATGGAACGCATGAAGATGCATAAGAAGAAGAGCATCTTTAACTTGAACGACGACGAGGTGTTGACCCATAGGGGTCAGACCCTCGAGGAGATCGAGAAGTTCGATGATCCTAAGAGCGACGACGATTTCAGCGATGATGAAAACACTAGCGGGAAGCTGGATAGACACTTTGTGGAGGAAGCTCACTTTGGCGGAGGAGTTTTGTCGAAACCAGACTCTGCTTTATCCAGAAAGGATTTGATTGATCAGCTGATTGCGGAATCGAAGAAACGAAAGGCGGAGAAGCAGAAGATACGCGAGCAAACGATAGATCTGACAGAGAAACTTGATTCTGAATGGAAGGATCTCCTGCCTATTATGTCTGCTTCCAAGAAGTTGATGGAAGATGCTACAGAGACGAAAGATGCGAAAGCTGATGCTTATGATATTGCCGTGAGACAATTGATCTTTGAAGCTAGGGGTAATCCGACAGAAAAATTAAAATCCGAGGAAGAAATTGTTCAAGAAGAGAAGGAAAGATTGGAAGCACTTGAGGCTGACCGAGTGGCAAGAATGAAAGGATTTGTATCGGATACTAATAATCAATTTAAGCATAAATCTGCTGATGATCTTGATGATGGTTTTATGCTAGAAACTGTTGTTGATGATAATGATGATAATAATGATGATAAGAATTCAGTGGATAATGATGATGATAATTCAGGGATAATGATGCTAATGACAGCAATGAAGAGGATAGTGACAATAACGAAGCTAATGACGATGATATTAATGATGAACAGACAAGTATTAAATCAGAGAGCATTGCAGAAAAAAAAATAAACACAAGGAAAGATAATAGTGAGGATCAGGAAAGCATATGTTCAGAATCGTCTAAAGTTGAAATTGAATCTGAAATAGATGTAGATAACAAAAATTTAAAAATTGGAAATGAATTAGATGAGGAAGAATCTGAAGATAGCTTATTAGATTTAAAAGTATCTGATTCATCTAGCGAAGATGAAGAAAATAAAACTATTAAAAAACATGTAAAATTTGCTGATAATCTGACCAAAGGTAAAACACATATGAATCAATTGGACAGTCCCAAATCAATATTGAAACAGAACAATAGCAGTACAGATGTACAAAATTTATCTGATAAAGATAGAAAAAAGGAGATAAGAAATGATCTTTTGAAACGAAAAGAAATCATGGAGAAGGCGCGAAAAGAATTGCCTTACACATATAATGCACCAGAGAGCTTTGAAGAATTAGAAAAATTATTAAAGCATCATAATGCAGATTATCAATCAGTTATTGTAGATCGTATTATAAAATGTAATCATTGGACATTAAATGGTAAAAACAAAGAGAAAATGTTAAATCTATTTGCATATTTGTTACAACATATAAATAATTGCGCTTCTGCAATGAAGAATGCTGATGATCTAGTTAAATGCTTTCAAATCTTTGACAGGTAAAAATAATTTATATTTATAATTTATATTCTTACTAATTTTAAGTATATGTTACATTGCTTATTTATAACTTTTATTCTAGATTGTGCCCTTACCTTTATGATCTAGCACATTTAAGTCCAGAAAATACCAAAACTTATGTAAAAGAAGTGCTTGAGGAGAAGTATGAAAAATTTGCAAAAAATAAAAAAAGATATCCTGGTGTGGATACGGTAAGAGATTATATACAAAATGTCTTTAACTAATTCTATTTTCTTTTATTTATAAATATATATTATGTAAATGTATAGTTATATGAATTTTCATACTTTTAAATAATTCAAAAATAAAAAAAATATTTAATATCTAAAAAGATGCGTAGATTTTAGTTTTCAAATAGAATGAATTAAAAAGTTAACAATCTATGATGTACCATTATATATTTGTGTAATATTTATAGTTAAAAAATCCTATAGCTTACACAAAATGTTTTTATCATGTTACATTATATATTTTTTTACACAGACACTTTTTACTCTTCCTATATGCACACATACTCATATAATGTGTTTTTGTTGGTTTCAGCTTATATTGTTTAAATTAGTGTCTTTGCTGTTTCCGACATCGGACTTCAGACATCCTATTGTGACTCCTTGTTTAGTATTTATGTCAGAAATACTACTGAGAGCTCATATTAAAAAATATCGAAGTGATATTTCAAAAGGTCTTTTTATAAGCACACTTATTTTAGAGGTAAATACAGTTAATTTGTTTTACACTTATTATTACAATGTATAATTGAAGAGATATGTCATTGTAAATATTTTTGAAATTTACAGTATACAGTATTAAGCAAACGATTTGCACCCTCGGTGATCAATTTTTTACGAGGGATTATATACACAGCGACAGAGTCGACAGAAAAAATGAAGATTATACCACCATTTAAAGCAGTCTGTAAAGTTCTAGTGATCGATAACATTGAAATCACAATTGATCCAAATGGCGCAAATATGTTTGCGAGTGATTTAGTCTATGATGAATTAGATGATGAATTTAGAATAAAAGCTTTATTGACTGCAATAAATCTAGTTATAGAATTTAAAAATCAGCTTCAAGAATTAGAAGCGGCATATTCAATATTTGAGCCTATCTATAAATTATTAAAGATAAATAAATTCAAGAAATATCCACAAAACGTAAGAAGCCACATAAAACAACTACGGAAGGATCTCAAACTTTTACAAAGCAAGAAATTGAATTATATCGTATTCGAGAAGAAAAGGCCGAAACCTTTAAGGACATACGAACCAAAAATAATGACAGTGTAATTATTTTATACATCTTTCTTTTATTTAATTTATTAATTTTACAATTTTTGAATTTATTAAAAAATATAGCTTTTTTTATCATATATATTTTTAGATTAATATATATATATATATATATATATATATATATAATTAAAGATTTATTATATTTATTTATAATATTATACACGCGATATTTATTAAAATATGTTATTACAGATATGATGGAAAGCACCATAGACCGATGTCAAAAGAAAAAGCAGAAAGAGAGAAATTGTTACACAAGTACAAGAGAGAATTTAAAGGCGCTGTTCGCGAGATAAGGAGAGATCGAGAATTTTTATCTAAAGTACAAATTGCGCAACAGATTATGAGCGATGCTGAACGCAAACGCAAAGTAAACGAAATTTTCAGCGAGGCTGCGACGCAGCAACATGAATTTAAAAAGATGAAAAAGAAAAAATAAAATGAGAAAATGTATGTACGAAAACATAAAAGATTAAAGTTTTTATATACACATTTTTTACACGTGTATATATGTACTATATTGAGCGATGTAATGCAATAAATATTATGTACATAAACAACGTAATATGAATACATAAAAAGACAATTTTTAATTAATTTTGAATTTATATTTATATGATGTTTGTCACTATAAATTGGATGAATTTCCATAATTTTAATAGTAGCATCTAAAAAAATTGTTTATATAAAGCACAAACTTTTCTCTCTCATATTTATTCATTATATATAATTTTAACTTCTTTTTATATTTTTTTATAGCTTTATTTTATTTTTATATCTATATTTTTATTATATTTTATTATATAATAAGAATAGAACAGTTTCTATATCAACAATATTATCAGCATTATATGATATATAAAAAAGGAGAGATATAAGAGTATGATTTTTTTATTATTAAAGAGAAAAGGAGAGAGGAAAAGATAAAATCCTTCCTTTGTTTTGTTTCTCAAATCTCGAGCTTTAAGTACATTCAATTTATCCTATTAATTTCTTTTACAATTCTCTTCAAATTTTCGATTTCCACAGAACATAACATCTTGTAATACATAAAACAAATTCAGTTAGAAAATAAATAAGTAACGTTTATATTTGTATGACAAATTGCAAATTTTGTATCTGAAAATAATCATATTATTATATTGCACTAACTAAATAAACAAAACAAAAATTATAAAATTTTATTTTTTATTATATATTAATTGCTCGAAAAAATTTAAAAAATAATTTTAAAAACTTGAATTATGAAAATTAAATTGTCAGAATATATTTGTACATAATGTACAATTATAGAAGAAAAGTATTATAAATTTAATATATTATTTAAAACATTGTGCAAAGAAGTTAAAAACTATTTTCACAAAGATGTGCAAGCTACAGCCCTGTGTTTCCTCGCGCTCATTCGTTCGTTCTTTTTAGTCGCGGATGATTCGTCGCTGTATACATATATATACATACACGATGTGTAAACGCACACATATAAATAATTCCGAGTACGATTCGCGATGTAAAGTGAAAACTCTGGAGGTTGACGGCAGTTGACGGATCGCGCTCGCCCGGGATGGGTGTTACCTAAATTCACCATCTTGAAGCCTTTTAATTCTTATCTCGAGTTATTTCTCGCGCGACTCGACGGACTCATTTTTAATTCTTCCCTCTTCTCTCGTTGCTCTTTACACGTCGTAATAAGAAGCGATTAAAAATGCCTGTCTTCCATACCAAAACTATCGAGAGTATTCTCGAACCAGTGGCTCAGCAGGTAATTCAAATGATTATCAAGATTATGCGGCCCCGCATTAATTTTTATTTATTTTTAGCGAGAAAAAAATTTTCTCGCTCAAAAAATTTGTCTTCTGAATTTTCGAAAAATTTCTTTATTTATTTAACAGCGAAAACATTTTATTCTCAAGAAATATTCGAAAAATATATATTTCTTTTTGTTAAATAAACAAATTCAGTTATAAAATAAATAAGTATTGTTTTATATTTGACAATTTTATGTGTGATAAATATATCAGGGCTATTCTGTCTGCTTTATTTAAAGCTTCTGTGAAAATATTTTACTGTTCGCTTAATATGTTTGTTATAAAAAGTTGTTATTGTTATTAATGTCGATAAAAATCCACGTAACCACGTTTGGCAGAGTTTGATGCCCGGAACGCTGTTTATCGCAAGTGAAATTTACAGAGTAATCCTCTTATTTCATCAAGAAAGCTTTATATAGAACTATGACATCATACTCTGTATATAGGACAGGGCTACTAAATCCATCTTTCAGACGGTATCACACAGTTTTCTGAAATGAAATTCAATCCCTTTAGATGTGATGCATGCAGAAAGATGGGTCCTTACATTATTAGTCCAACATCTCCAAAAAGGACATGCTGGTGTTACGCACAGCATCCCACACATTCACGCATACTAACACATGATATTAATGAACCAGTTGTTTCATCTCATATTTCAATATATACTTTTGTATGCTTCATTCGAATATGCATATATTTTTGCCATTTTAAAAAAATACATATTAAAAAAGTATATGCGTTACTTTTATCTAATTATAATTTAATATACAGGATCCACACCTGATAATATGTATACAAATTTATAAAAAAACTGCAAATTTTGCATCTGAAAATAATTTTATATTATTATTGCAATAACTAAATTAATAAAATAAAAATTATAAAATTTTATTTTTATTGTATATTAATTGTTGAAAAAATTCTAAAAATAATTAAAGAAAGACTTGAATTATGAAAATTGAATTGTCAAATATATTTGTACATGATATATAATTATAGAAAGTATTATAAATTTGATATATTAATTAAAACATTGTACAAGAAGTTAAAAACTATTTTTGACTATACAAGTCAAACAATTTTTACTTTTGGAAAGTTAAATATATTTGATATATATGTTATATATATTAATATAAATTAAAATTATAGAAATTCTCTTTACTTTTTTGCATCTTTGAACTATTTGAACCAAAATATTTATCAACAATTTTATTAATAATTATTTATCTCTTACAGGTCTCAAGACTTGTCATTTTACATGAAGAAGCTGAAGATGGAAATGCAATGCCAGATTTGGGGCGGCCTGTACAGGCCGTCAGTATGGCTGTGACCAATCTTGTTAAAGTGAGTTTATATTATACATAAAATCAAAACTTAGATATTAAAAATATTATTCAACCTTTTATTTTTTTAATCAGTATTATTTTATATTCAATTTTTATTACTATATATTTCTACAGGTTGGAAAGGAAACAATAAATTCATCTGATGATGCATTGCTCAAACAAGATATGCCTGCGGCCCTTCAACGTGTAGAAGGTGCTTCTCGTCTTTTGGAGGAAGCATCAGCCATGCTGAAGCAGGATCCATATTCAGGTCCTGCTAGGTACGATTTATGAAACTCATATGAAATTACTAATTGAATTTGATGTATTTAACAAACTTATGGTGTATTTTTCATTTTAGGAAAAAACTTATAGAGGGATCACGTGGTATTTTGCAAGGCACCAGTTCTTTGCTCCTTTGTTTCGACGAGAGTGAAGTACGAAAGATTATACGGGAATGCAAACGTGTATTAGATTATCTGGCTGTTACCGAAGTTATCGAAACAATGGAGGATTTGGTACATTTTCTTAAGAATTTAAGTCCATGCCTTAGCAAGGTATCAAGAGAAGTGAGCGCTCGTGAGAAGGAGCTGACGCATCAAGTTCACAGAGAGATATTAGTGCGCTGCCTAGACCAAGTAAATATAATGTGATAAATGTTAATATCATTTTTAACATGTTACACGACTATATTTAATAATAAATTGTTGACTTGTAGGTCAAAACACTTGCTCCTATTCTGATCTGCTCCATGAAGATTTTCATCCATATTATTTCACAAGGTGGAAAAGGTGCGGATGAAGCGGCAGAAAATCGCAACTACTTATCTGGTAGAATGTCCGATGAATTGAATGAAATTATTCGAGTGTTGCAATTAACTACATACGATGAAGAGGAATGGGAAGCAGATCAGTTGACTGTTAGTTGTTTTTCATCTTGATGTTTGATTATAGCTTACTGAAACAATAAAATATAACATAATTTTATTATTATTAGGTGCTGAAAAAGGCTCAGAGTGCTATAGAATCCAGAATACGAGCAGCTTACGATTGGCTGGACGATGGATTAGCTCTAAGAGGTGGCGTAGGAGAAAAGAGCCTTCGTCAAATAATAGAACAAGCGTCGCGTCTAGCAGAACGTTATCTACCTCCATCCCAAGCGGAACCTATGTCTAAATTAGCTTCTCAGATTGTTACTATGACTGATGCTCTTTGTGAACTGCGTCAAAATGAAAAAGGTTCCTTTCCAGCTTTACAAGATTTACATGTTGCAATTGTGTATTATAAAAATATTATATGCATCAGTATATCTTCAAGACTCAATGTAATTAATCATCTGTATTTATAAAGGTACTACACCTCAAGCGGAAGCCTTAGCACGCGGTATTAAAGAGAAATTGAACGAGCTCCGCGGCTCGGTAGCGTCCGCTTTGGTGGCAGCAGATAAATCGGGAACTGCACAGACGGCACACACAGTGGCAGGTCGATTAGAACAAGCGAACAAGTGGCTTCTGAATCCACAGCACGATGACAAGGGACTCGGTAAAAGGGCTATAGCTTTAATAATACACGAAGGCAAAAAGGTACGATGTAATTAATTCTTATAACTTTTCTTTTTCATTATTTTTGAACATTTATCATATATATCTGAAATATATACATCTAGTAGCGCGTTATTGTAGTCGATTTCTTTTATATTTCAAATCAGTCACATTTTCACTCTATAATGCTTAATATCTTCAATGCTGCGCATAGAAAGAATGAGCAACCTATAGCAAATGTGAGTGTGGAAATACTTCCGTTATGTTCTCACACAATGTAATGTGTTATTAATACTATAGGCAGATGAGCTATGCAAAGCGTTCTGAGTACCGCGTATTTTTGTCCAATGGTTTTGATAACAAGCCTTTAATTGTTTCTTATTTTATATTATTTAACCATTCACGTGAAAGATATTTATTAAGACAAGCAAATTTTTAAATACTTGTTACGCATTAAAATTAAAATGTCACAAATGTAAGTTTAAATAGAATTTTATTTTAACATTTTATTTAAAGCTCTTGCTATTAATTCTGTTTATACGAATTTAAATTATCGAGAGAAAATTCGCGATGCCTCTGACGCTCTGTATATCAATTATTTTTCTAAGAGGCTTAACAATTTTTACCATCATCGACAATCTTATGTTCGAAAAAAATAGGTGGCCGAGGGTCTGCCAGGTATACATAAAGCGGAGATTTTGCAATTGTGCGACGAGGTGGACAACTTGTCGCATCAGCTCGCCGATCTCTGCGCTCACGGTCAGGGCAATACTCCACGCGCTCAGGAAATCGCCCGACAGCTGTCCCATAAGCTCTACGAATTGAAGAACAGGATACAACAGGCCGTCGTGTCTCGCGTCGTCGAGGACTTCATTGACATCACAACACCCCTGAAACAATTCACGGACGCCGTTTTAGCACCTACGGGCACACCAGGACGCGATCAAAACTTCAACGATAAGACTTGTACGCTGCAGACGTTCTCGAATAGAGCGGCCAAAACGGCAAGGATGGTCGCGGCTGGCGGTATATATTTTTTATATCGTAAAAAATTCAATTCGATTCTTTTAATTCTTTAAAAAATAATAAATAATAATAATCTTTTAATAAATAATTACATAATAAATTAATAAATAATTAATTTTTTAATAAATTAGTATTCTCTGAGACGTTTACAATAAATTATTTTTCATTTTTATTTTTATCAGGGAATTCTCAGGAAAATTTGTTTACAAAATTTGAGTAAACTGAATAAAGAATTGAGAATAGTTCGCTTTTTTTAAGAAATAATTTTTATCTTTTTTTCATATTTTTCCTTTTTTGAAAGATTACAAATTTTGAAGAATTTAACATTTATTATTATAGGAAGCGGAGGAAATAAGAAGCTGGCCGAAGCGTTAGCTGCCAGTGCCTCGCAAGTAGAATCTCTGACGCCGCAATTGATCAACGCTGGACGAATTCGCATGACTTATCCGGATAGCAAAGCTGCGGATGAGCACTTCGAAAATTTGCGCCAGCAATATGCAGAGACGATGCAGAGAGCGCGAGCACTGTGCGACGAGGCGACTGACAGTGGCGATTTTATCAGAACTTCCGAGGAACAGATGCAGAAACATACGTTCCTTTGCGAGGAAGCCATCGCCAAAGCTCATCCGCAGAAGATGGTCGATAACACGGCGTCTATTGCGCGTCTCGCGAATCGAGTTATACTCGTAGCGAAACAGGAAAGCGATAATAGCGAAGACCCGGCTTTCATACAAAGAGTAAATCACGCCACGGATGTTCTTCAAAACAGTGAGTGCTCTATTACATATTTGTTTTTTTTAATTTCCTTAGCTTAATATAATTATTAATATATATTAATAATACACATATGAAAATAAAAACTGCAACTCTTCCTTGTAATTTGAATTTCAATGAACAATTGGTAGAAAAAAATATTCGTCTTTTACTATGCATTTGTTTGATTTAAATTTCTCACAAGAGACGTAGAATTATAGAAAATATAGAAAAATTTATAAAAATTTGCAAATATAAAATTTAAAAAATATATTTTTCAAAATTTTTATTAATCTATTATTAAATAATTTTATTATATTTAATAGGTGTTGCTCCAATGGTTCAGGATGCTAAATTAGTGGCAATGAACATCAATGACAGCGGTGCAGTATCACGTTGGAGAGAAAGTAATCGCGCAGTATGTATCTTATTCTAGTATATTTCATAAAAATTATAATATAATATAATAAGTATTTTTAATGCTATGTTCTCTTAGCTGTTAGCCACCGTCGGGCAAGTTCGTAAAGCCATTGTAATTCAACCGGATTTGGTACCGCCTCTGGAAATGTCACAGTTACACATTAATGATGGTGAGTTTTTAATATGAAATATTTCTAGAAATTAGGAATAATCATTAAAGATATGGTTTCTATTAGTCAAAACGGAAACATTCATGATTATTTTGTGATTAACCAATTTAAAAATTTTCTTATGAGGAAATAGCTAATTTATGATACTTTTTTAAGTATTCTTTTTTATTATACTTCTTTATTTTACTTATTTTTAGTAATTTGTTATATAATTCTATAATTTATGTAGGTTTTAGAGAAAAATCGATTAGAATATATTTTTTATATCATTTCACTAATAAAAACTTTGTGTTTTTGCATATACCTAAAAACTATTATTTAAATATGTAGATATTAAAATAATAGTTGTATAAATATGAAATAGAATGTTTGCATTATAAAGTACACATTTTATTATACTGGCTATCAAAGTCATCTAATTTTTATTTGTCACATTAGATATAATAAATCATTATTTGTTTTCTTATAATACCATTTCTATAAAGAATAGGTTTTATATTTTTTTTATAGATTTTTCTACATATTTACAAATTTTATAAATGATATTTTACAAATTTTTCTAAAGTTAAAAGCATTTTGATAAGATTATAAATAAAACTAAAGACATTATATAAAACATTGCATTAGGAAATCAAAGATACGCAATATCAATTTATAAATAATATATTAACAAAAAAAGTGTATCTATAATATATCTTTTACAGATGAACAAATTCCAGTCAAATATAATTACTCCAAACCTAAAGGTATCTTTTTCAGCATGAAATGATTTATGCATGATTGTTTGTTATATCATTTTACAGATAAATTATATAAAAATAATTTAATGAGAAGACTGAATTAATATAATTTAACGAGAAGTCTATGGTATTATAAAAACAAATATATAACATAAAGTTATATATATATATATAAACATATACATATGTATATATATCATATAATCTGTTTTTTATGCTTGCTCTCTTTTATTTATGACATTTTTTCAATTAAACTCGTTATTTATGAAGAGAAGCTATAACATGCTATATTATAATCGATAAAATCCATTATATTAATATTTTCTCGTGTTCATTTTTATCATATGTAAAATGCAGATTAGAGTGATGACAAGAAAAAGACTGTTAGATTTATTGCAATGCCAGACTGTAAGATTAATTATATTTGCTCCAATTAGTAGAGAATCCCGATCTTTTATATCAAGAACTGGCTTCTGACAACGAGTTAGAAAAATCAATTCACGACGGAGGTAATCTATAAAAATTCTGTGGCCCCATAAATTATTGTTTTTTTTTCATGTTTTTTAATGTTTCCTGTTATAAAGCATGCAGTGGCTGAAGATAAAGCTCGTACTGTATATTAAGTAAAACGTTACGAATATGATTATAATGCAATATATGTCCAAGTCTAGAAAAAAGAATATTATTCGCAATATAATACATACATGATCAATAATCACAAGTTTTATTATATATTTGTATAAAAGAAATATTTTTCATATAAATTTCTATCTTATATGTGTATTGGATGAATTAAGCTGCATTTTGCTCAATCATGCGATTTTTTGCAATAATATTAGTGATTCATAGTCATCATTATTATGTTACAGATAATATTAACAATTTTGGGCATTAAATACATTAATTTTTAACTTATTATATCTTTATATAATTGATATTTATTATAATAATAGAATATAGAAAAACTAATATAATATTACTTATTGATATAAAGTATTGATTACTGATAAAAAATGGTTGATTTTTATATCCAAGTAGAGCATGATGTTAATATAACATTTAATTACATGCATGTAGAAGCATTTTCCATAACATGTCCAATTTATCTCATTTTAATGTGATATGCATTTCTGTTTTTAATGCTACATGGATCACCAGGTTATTACAATTATAATATTGATGATGGTAATTATCCAAACGTTTTTCTACTCTTATGATATTTCATTCATCAATATTTTTGTTTACTAATATACAGAGCATCTGTATATTAATAAAAAAATCGTTAGTGAAATAATCGTTTGGCTGTACCTTTAATAAATAATATTATTAATTATTGTGAAAATTGTAAATTACATTTACAATAGTTGGCTTATATTTATTTTACACATTATTTGTGATTGTTTTCAGCGAAGATTAATTACATATTTTGAGATAATGCATAACAGTGTGATACATTTTAACAGATCCTTTTCTGTTATGAGTGTTTGTAACAGATTGGTTTAGATTTTTATGTACGACGAAAAAGAGGAAATATTGTATAAAATTTTATTGAGATAACATTTATTTATTTCTTGTGTACAGAAGTGGCACCTCCCCGCCCACCTTTGCCAGGAGTCGATGTTGCACCTCCGAGGCCTCCACCTCCCGAGACGGACGACGAGGAAGAAATGTTCATGCACGCTCCCCAACCCAATCAACCGATAATGGTAAAAGAAAAATGTTCTGCGCTTGATCCGTATCTATATACATACAACAAGTCGTAAAACTAATCGAACACGAGTTATATTTATACTTGTTGTATAGATGGCTGCTCATGGTTTACATCAAGAAGTACGACAATGGTCGAGCAAGGATAACGAGATTATCGCAGCGGCGAAGAAGATGGCTATATTAATGGGCAGATTATCCGGTCTGGTAAGAGGCGAGGGTGGCAATAAACGAGACCTCATCGCCTGCGCCAAAGCGATTGCGGAAGCTTCCCAGGAAGTGACTCGTCTCGCGAAAGAACTAGCCAGGGAGTGCACTGACAAACGTATTCGCACGGTACGTGTAAATACTGTTGAACTCTACAGAGAGAATTTTCTCTTTTTATCTTGAAATTCATGGTAATCGTGGAACAATATTGGTATTGGAAGAATTTTATAAGAATTTATCTGATTAATATTCGCCACAAAAAGAAATTGTAAGCTTTATATAAAACATGTTTCATTAATTTTTAAATATATTAAAACTTATGACTCTTAATAGAATAGATACCAAAAAAGTAATAAACATATAACATATTTTATATAAATTTTATAATGTAGCATAATATAAAATATTTTCAATCTTTAATTGTTCATAATCATTTTAATATGCAGTATGGTAATTTTCTTATTATCAAACATGATAAAATTTGTAGTGAATTTTGCGATAAAATATAACGAAAATTTCTCTCTATGTATCTATTATCTATAATTTTTATTTATTATAAAATTTGTTATATAAAAATCTAATCTTGTACTTGCTTAATGGTTTCTTTCTTCAGAATCTTCTTCAAGTTTGCGAGCGTATACCCACTATCGGAACACAACTGAAGATCCTGTCTACGGTAAAAGCCACTATGCTCGGGGCACAAGGTACAGTATCCTGTATCTCATTTTACATATATATTTACATATCCGAGTACATTTTAGAGAAAAAGATCGCGACTCTGCCAAGCTAATTTATTAAGAAATATCTATTGATGATTCTTTCTCTCTTTGGGATCATATAATCTTCCGAGAAAACATTGCTTAACAGAAAAAACATGTGTGAGAACTAATGTATTAATAAAGAAAAATTAAATCCTTTGTATATAGAGACACTCCCGACCTGGGAAGAGCTGATGCTTTATGGTAAAAGAAGTTACAAAGTTGTGCTTAATGTTATCGTCTATTTATCTCTCTTTCTCTTTTGGTGGCGTTTATTTCGTTCTTTTAAAAATTTGATATCGATTGATTTTCACACAGCATCGAAATGCATGCAGCTCCTATACTTTTTCCTTGAAGAGGAATGTGAAAAAGTGATAAACACTGTTATCCAATGTTGATATATACGTATATATTTGAAACAGAAACTCCGGCAAATTTATATTTACGTAGCAATACATTAACTTAGCAATTTTTATGAATAGGCTAATGATTTTGATATTTTATTTGAACTTTGAATGGTATATGCCGCGTTGGTATACGTCTGCTCATCGTGGTGTAGATGAATTGATTGGCTGCAGTAAGTGGATTATAAAATTTTATAGCAAATTTTTAGATAGCAAATTATTCAATATAGTACTATCCATATTTTCTACATATTAAATATCAATATATTATGTATTTCGATCTATAATACACATTTCATTATTATCAATTCCTACAATTGCAATTCACGATTTATCATTTGTACATATTGTGGTAAGCAGACATTCGAAATCAAATGATTCATGCTACTTTCATGGAAGTTTCCTCCGAGCAATCATTAGTCTTTGCTCCGAAATACATGTGTTTTTATTTTTATTCATGCATGTATTTTTTTTTTAATTTAATTAATTACTTTTTTTACATAATTACTAGCGCTCGCATATATTTGCTAGCTAAAGCAATACATAATTTGTATAAAGCATTCATACATAAAATTCATCTATAAAAGTTTCGAGCCATAGTAATTATGAAGAATTTTCTTTCAATGTAATTTTTATATGCACAGTAAATACATTCTAGATACTTAATATGCATCTAGTTTCCTGATTAAGCAGTAATTAATCGTACAGTGCATGTAAATTACACACATTACACATTTTACAGTAAATAGTAAAGCTTCTTTCATCCTAGCACTTAATAAAATATTCGTTAGAAAAAATAATGCATTTCTAACATAGAAAACATCAAGTAGCTTCGAGTAAAAATATAATTATATATTATCCACCTATTTTCAAGATTGCTATTTAGTACATTAGATATCTATGAATCACAATTACAAATATAATTTTACAAATCTAATAACAGATATAGTGACAATTATTATATTAATTAGCTGTAGAAAAATAACAATTGTAGAAAAATTTATAGAAAAAATCTGTATGTCTTAACAAATATATATTGATGTATCGGAAAATTATTTTTTCATCAAAATCTAATAGTTATTTTTGTAATATGTATACGCAGGTACGGAAGAAGATCAGGAAGCGACGGACATGCTTGTTGGAAACGCTCAGAATCTTATGCAAAGCGTGAAGGAAACTGTGCGTGCAGCAGAATGCGCTAGCATAAAGATTCGCACCGCTTCTGGTATGAAACTACGCTGGGTGCGTCGTCAGCCATGGTACCAATATTAAACTATGATGGATGAAGATGAAGAATCAAGGTACGAGAAGTAGGTGCAAGATTTTGCTTCGTGTTCATGTATACATTATTAGTAGAAATTTTCCTATAATTTTAATATATTAAAAATATATATATATATATATATATATATATATATATATATATATATTTTGCAAGAGAGAGTACTAATTATTATTATGCTTCATGTTTTAAAGTTGATTCATCGATTTTTTATTTTGTTTTATATTGTAATCTATTTTTTGCTTACTTAATAGATTTTTTATCAAGATGTTTTTATAGAGGAAAGCAATATGAATGATCACGTGTTTTATAACGCACAACTTCTTTTTAAGTAGATAAGCAGCAATAACTAATATTTATCTTATCATTGTTTATGAATTTTATAGCATTCAATTAATTTACTTTATAATGTTTAATGAAATAATTCAGCATAATAAAGTTTTTAACTTTCTAATTATAAGCATCATGCAGCATAGAGTGAAAACTAATCTTTGATCTCGTAGTTCATTATTTTAAATGAAAAAGATTATTTATGCTTTACATATATATTAAAAACAATACGATAATTGGATGAAAAGTTCTAGGCATTATACAAAGATGGAGATAAAATTTGGAAATAAAAATAATTTTGAACCAAAAAGTGTTTTCCTTGTTAGGCCGAGAACTTTTCATTTGACCGTATTATCATAACAATAGTAATTATACATATGACCATAGTAATGTATAATCATAATAGAAAAGCGCACTTCTATATACAATTTGTATTAATCGCTTAATCCGAATTTAAATATTGTTTAAGCAAGACTTCGAATATATATACAAATCACATTCGTAACAATTTTTTGAAATATTAAATAAGGTAAACTGAGAAAAATGTCAGGTATATCCATAAGTAAAACATTCTTACTTCTCTTTATTGAATAAAATATTATCGTGCGTGTGCGTTTACACACATACACACGATTAAAAAGTTATATTTTTACAAAATAAGTAATAAATATAATCACACTTATAAAATTATACTAGTACATTAAATAGCACTCTGTGTACACAGTGAAGTTATCTAAGTTTATATAATCTGAATTATCTTTAATATTTTTAATATGTTAGTATATAAATATACTCACAACAATAATATTTATTAAATTAATATTTAAAAAATGTATTATTTGTAACATTCTTTAAATTGTTTTAAAAAATATGACATTGATAGCATCAATTATATAAATATGTATTTTTGGTGAATGTACCATTCATCAATGCTGTACACTGTTCTTTTAAAAGAACAGTGATGTCAATCAGATATTTATAAATTATCAAGTATTTCAGATAGAATAAACTTAGACGCTTGCTGCTGGAAATCGTATTTAATACAATGAAAATCTATTTTTTATATAAATTGTATGCAGCAATTATAATACCAACTTTTTCAATATTTTTAGCTTTGTACTCTCATATCTTTTTTTTGTAAGGTGCTAATATGTGCAATATTGACCTAAGCAATATTGCTATGTAACGGAAAGTAAATCTAATTATATATTTCAAGTGATTTTAATATATAACATAGTATAGATAAATTTTTAAAAATTGATAATACGGAATGTTACGATACATATTAATTCCCCGCAACAGATAATAAATGTATCTGAAAATACTTTTGTGTAACCACATTTATAATAAAAATAACTTTTATTATATACATATACATAATTTGTATTCTTACTTTTTATTTCACGTTTTATGTAACATTAAATATAAAAAATTTACATATATATTATATTATTATACATATTAAACTATACACTAATTACAATACTAAGATTCGACCCCTTCTCTTTTGGCAGATTGTTGTCCGGGTATTGTTGTGCCTGGAATTTTATTTTTAGGCATCTTTCCTGGTCTTAGATATGGATTGTCTATAACGTCTTGTTGGGTGGCAGTTTCGCCATTTTGTTCTATATTTTCGTTTTGCGTTTGATTACCTAAAAACAAGTTCACATCATGTTATATTAGATTTAAACTGTACATTTATTTCAAATATATTTCATTATGATGTATATCACAAAACAAGTATACCTTCCTCTTGCTCTTTGCCTTCTTGCTCTTTTTTCTTTTTCACTGGATTTGATTCAAATTGAAAATCTGAATCTGGCTCAAATATTTGATCTTGAGGTAAAAGAGCAGAGATATAACTCGGGAATTGCGGTTTACAAGATATTACTAAAAACAAAGAAAATATATGTAAATATATACTTTCTTCTCTCTCTTGTTGTACATATATATACATATAATTAAAATAAACTTATATTAATTTCATATAAGTGACAACTTGCTTACAGGGAAACATGCTGTTATCCTCTGTGAGAAATAAACTATGCGTTTCTCCAGTTTTAGCAATGAACCTTGTTAAAGCTCTTTCAATATCCCGTTTTTGTGTTGCCACCTTTTCTCTTATTGCTTCATATTCTGTTACTGGTTGTTTATGTGTCTGCAATATTTACATTATTGAATCTTTATGTATTGCAATATTTGTTTCAATAATTTGTAAGTAAATAAAAAAAGTATAAATATAATTAATTAATACTCACCGGAGTTCTGATATATGCATGTGGATCGGGAAAAGGTGGCAAATAATTTGGTATATGCGGTGGATGACCTTGCTTAACACCAGCTTGCAAGATATTCAATTGTTTTGATTGTGTCTGTTGTTGAAGAGCTGGTAAAACCGTTCTGTTTTGTCTTCTTGCATAAGTTTCTATGTTATCTATTTTCATGCCCATATTGATTAATGCCAATATTACATCTGCTATGAGAGGCTCTGTTCTCCCGGAAAGTTCACAATAATTTCTTGCTGATGCTCCAGTTTCCACAATAACTGTAATTTGTGAGAAGAAAATAAATGATTTGCGCACACAAGATGAAGATATAAATTTATAAAAATTGAATTCAAAAAGTGAATAAAAAGTTATTAAAGAAATGAAGAATCTAGATTTTTAATTAAAATCTAAAGAATTAATCTATCATATTCATTGATCTACAATGTTTTATATTTTCACAATCCATATATATAGGATGTGCAAGTAGATTCTTAAAATGCTATTTGTTTTTAATAATTTTAGTTATTTGACTCATTTAATAATACAATGTATAAAGTATCGAATATAAGTTTATGTTTTTCAGAATATTATCACACAAAGTTTGAACATCAAATAAAAAATCTATAATGATATACCTCAGTGTCTAAAAAAATATTAATGTTTAAAAACTCATTTGCTGTTGAAACTGTGTGGAATGTAATTATTGGATATAATAATTGATAAATAAATGTTCTTTCGAAAAATTATAAAAAAATGGAGTTTTTGTACATTGTTTAATTATACTTTTTTAAAAGTGATAGGTTATAGAAGTTTAAACATTTTTAACAGCCTCTTACATGATTGCAACATTTCGGTGAGTGTTTCCAGTGCTTGTTTATCACACGTGTCATAGCTACATTCCACTAAGATGCTGCAAACCACTTGATTCAAGATTTTTCTTCGGGTATTGACAGTTTGTGCATCCATTTCGATGTTGGATAAACTTCGAATCGCCGACTCGAACAACCATATTGGATTTTGGATTGCGTTCGGAATTCTACTCGAAGTGAGGTTTGATGAATTGAGAAAAAAAGGAGCGGAGAGTTCTTTGTTCTGATTGGACGACTGAATCCTCGCACATGTGCACTCGAGAAAAACAATTCTGAATCTAGTTCTAAATCTAGAAACCTATGTAAATTTCCTATCTGACAACCAATAAGAAAGTGAATATTTGTTATAAGATGAGTGACACTTCTAGCTTTTTTATAATCCTAGACCATCCGTTTGCATAATACAAAAATACATAGTAGGTTTTTTAAATTTTTTATTTAATTAAATAGGAATAAAATATACATCTAAGTTTATTTAATAATTTTTACTAAAAATAGTGCATACGTATTTATAATGTAAGTGAATTGTTTGTTTTTTTATTGTTATGCATGTTTTTAAACTTGCATATATTAATTTAAATATTATATATATATTTATTAAATTAATCTATTTAAATGATTATATTTATCGAAATTTAAGAGGAACATCTCAAACTAAATCTTTATTTAATTTTATTAATGTGTTATATTCTTACAGATTAATTTTACCATGAATTGTGGATACGCAACATAATAAAATTAAATATTTTTTTATATACTTGCATCGCAATCACAATTTATGAGATGGATGCAGATATATTAAGAGCAATATTAAAGAGTTATGATGATGCAGAAAATGTTGCTGAATCTGAGAACTGCAAAGATGTATCAAGGGAAGCTTTGCTATGCTCACAGTCTGATAAAATGTTGATCACTTTGTGTGCAGCATTGAGCAATCTTTTATGTTACAAAGTATCAAAGCAAGCTTATCAACGTTATTCAGTTCGATTGCTGATAATTGTATGTTAATTTTTTGCATTACAATATTAATGTCTCTTTTTAACTTTTTTTAAAATTCTTACAATGTTTTACTACAATCATTACAGGACATCCTGCGAAAATGGTGCAGAACAACAAGCAACTTTGAACATTTGCCAATATTTACATCCAAAGAAAATAGCTTGAGATTTGCAAACGTTTTGTTAGACAAACATCTCACAGATGACATTTTGAATGAGTGCTGTTCGGAAGATGCTTTGATATCTTTAACCACTGCCGTAATGCATCTGTCGTTGGGGAATCCATCCTTCATGCATCACATAGATAGATTACTTATAAGACTTTCACAATTAGAGACAAATGATAAAATTGAAAGATTATTACATAATTCTCTACATTCAAATTTGCACCTTAAACTATCTACAAAGGAAGAGATATATAGTGTGCAGAAATTTAAATTAATAGAAAAACCATTGCTTGACAGTTTTATATGCATGCTTCCTGATCAAAAGAAAGAAAATTGCATAGAAAATCAGAATAATGAAGCGGCATTAAATAAATTACTCGAATTTAGTGTTGAGTCTATGTGTGTTTTTCAATTAATATTTAATTTTTTAAAGGAGCTACTTGTTCAGCTGCATTTTGCTCCTGCAGTTCTACATTTTATAGAAGTAATATTAAAGCGGATATCTATTTGTTGTGAAAATCAGGATAAGGACATATTAAATCTTTATCCTAGGAGACTGCATTGTTGTATAATCTTATTAAGGATAAAGCCTGAGCATCATACAGTGCAGACACGAAAATATATATTGCAAACTATGAAACAAATCTACGACGAAAATAAGGATGTTTTATTAATTATAATGTCCCATTTTCCTGAATGGCTTGAATGTTTTGCAAATTATATGACAGACGACACAAAATTAATTGTGGAGAAAAATCCTGTAAATTTATGTGAGTACGTAATAATTTTATCATCGTTTTAATTTGATTATTATTATAATATTATTTTGAATTTGTTACTAATTATGAATACGTTTATGTTTATATTTATAACTTAAAAGATAAGTCTTATCATTTGAAAGAAAATGATAAAATGTATATATCAAAGACAGATCTTTATTTTTATTGTTCGGCCACAAAATAAATGCTGGAATGTTTTTTGAAGAAAATTCGATAATGAAAGTCGATAGTCCCTAAAATCTCAAATAGTATATAACATTTTCACATTTCTAAAATACATCTTACATTTTCATCTTATATAAATTGGATTGAAAAAAATGAGATGCAATATTTTTCAAATCAAAAGAAAAAAGAAATTAATGCGCCTCCCAGTGCAAAAATAATTGCTCTTATATTCCAAGTCAGCAAAAAAATGTTTGTCTGTGTAATTCAACGCATAAATCATAAATGTTAACTTTCAATTAATGCCACTTTAAAAATCGTGGAAAACAACATCTACTTTATAACAAACTAATGCAAACATCTGTCGAATATAAAAGTAAAATACATTTTCTAATGAACTGATAAATTGATAAATCTATTATAGAGAAAATTCATCCATTTTTTTCCTTTCTAATTTTTTAATTAAAAAATATTGTTTAATTGCCGTTTATGATGTAAAAGATAAATAAAAATTATTTCTATTGCTATATAAAATCATTAACGTTATATAATTAAATGATAGTACTGCTTCTTTGCTAATGCATTGCATTTGGAATTTAGTTTAAATATTTTTGTATGTACTCTAGAAATATATTAATTAACTATTCGATTTTTAAACTGATCATTTAATTCGTCTTCTATGTTTGAAGTGTCTTAAAATTTTATTTTACACATAAAAAAACCGCAACTTCTGAATAAGATGATCTTTGATGCGAATTTCTGCTCATACATTACTCAAATTCAAATTGCGATATAATATCGTTTCAATTATCGAAATAAGTCAAATTTCCTGTAAAACAGCTAAAAATAGTTAAATTCCACAGCAAAATTGAGGATGGTTTTATCGGAGCAGGATAAGCGGCATAAAAAAAGTCTACAGATGATTTCGTGATGGAAACAATGGAAATTTTGCGTTTTCGAGTGAAAAATACGAGAAAAATTTCTCCCGATTTCCTCAGCTGCATAATTATTGATAAATCTTCAAAAAAATCGGAATTTTATATTTTTGTTTTTAAATATACGATGTAATATTCTAATTTCTCTTCTATTTAATATGACGGATTTAAACGCGGATCACCTCTAGTTGCGAAATCGCTTGGATCTCCCGCACCCTGGATTCGCTGGAAGAGGATGTTTCCTCGGACGTGGTGCTTTGGCTTGATACAGCGGGATAGGACGAGGATGCGACGACGGAAGCGGAAGTGGGAGGATCAACGGGGGACGGCTTCGTTGGACGCGGCAAGGACCTTCGTCTCTTCAGGAACTCAGGCTGCCGCCGATCGGCCTTCTGAACCTTCTCGTTCCCTTTGATCTTGCCGCCGGTGGACCTGGATCGCGCGTTCACCTGTCGCGATTATAACGAAAAATCGCCACGTGAATAATATGAGATTGTGAGACAGAGATCTTGTGCAGAGTATAAGAGAGAATTGGATTAATCGTGTGTGTATTTTAGAGATAGATCTGTAATGGCAAAAATTTATACTGACCCGAATAGTTTTCCATCGCTTTTTGCTTAATTAGAGAGTTCAAAGATAATGCTTTATTAATAACATTCAGAGTTTTTCGATTATGCAAATTCGAAGGAAATCTGCTATGAAAAAAGCAAACACAAGGATAAGAAATGTTCTTCGAACTTGCATAAAAATATATTTCAGAGGAAGAACGTTGGATGGACGGCTTTGTTAAAACTAAAAATTTCGAATAAAAGAGGTGCATTGAAATATAGATTAAAATGATACATAAAGAAGAAACTGGGAACTTGTTCGATAATTCGTTTTTCTCTCTATAAAAGAAACTTAAAAAATTCAGAATTCACAAAGTTGAAAATCTAAAAGATTATAGTTCAAAATCTATATCTGTGAAGAAAAACATACAAAGATATATCAATTGTAACTCTTTTGATTTAATCGTTCTGTCGATAAGAGATTGTAGTTTAGCTCGTTGTAACAAAAGTTTCTCAAAAGAAACTTTTTATGCAGTTATTTTGACATTTGTTGTTGCAAATGTATACATTAATTAGCTCTTATGACAAAAGGAAAATTTCGTCTCTTATAACGCAGTATCGTCATTCGAAATGATCTATCATATTTTAAGGATCATACTTTAAGGAGGCAAAGATATATATAATTATAGATATTGGGTGCTTCTTGTGTGCACTTTCGGCTGAGAAAATAAAGTCGCCGATTTAAAGTCTGTTTTGCATCATTCATAATTCACGACAAAATTTTAAGATGTATAGTTATACGTATATTGTATATAATAGAAATCGAAAAAATATTATTAGTTTAGACTATATTTAGATTAATATTTTAAATGACGATTTTAGAAATATTGCGTGCAATGAAAAAAAATTATATTAGAGTAGGAGTAAGAGTTTCCATTAGAGAATATTGATTTTTAGTATTATTAATAGTGGATTTATAATATATTATTTATACATATACAAAATTATATAATATATATTTATATATACATATATAAATATATATTAAATAATCTTATATACATATATTATATTTTAATATATTTATTTATATTTTATATGTATATATAAATAATTTTTGTACGTGTAAAAAAGTCTTTTACGACTCATTATATTATAAATAGAATTTTGTCGCGAATTTTATAAATATATCGTGCAAAACGGACTTGGTGCACCCTTAGGACCGATCACGTCGATTTTAAAGAGGGATGCTGGAGCAGGAGTTTCAGGGACAGGTGGATTTTCTTTCAATTTTCTTCATTTGATGTTCGGGTGAAAGTATAGACAGTAGAAATGTTATAAAATGAAATGCTCTGTTACCTTGTAAAACGTGTTGTTACATTCAACATCGATGCGATGAATCTTTTTGTTTTTTTTTTCAAATTTTCTTTTTGTTTTCGAACGTGTGTGAGCCGTAGAGTACTCTATATTTCTATTTCTGTTTTCTTTTTCGCTCACTTTATTCTGTCACGTATTTTTTTTAAATCTCGAAAACGCAATGTCGAATAAAACAGCGATTATTCTCCTGCGCGTTTATTTTTTTCTTTTTTTGTTCTTTTCTCTGATTTCGATTATCCTCCGCTGTTTATCCTGCTTGTTTTTAAGCACTTTTTTTGCCAACCACATTACAATACATATATTACACGATCTCGCGTTAAAGACGTCTCGCCTGTAGTAACTAGATGATTTTTATTTTGCAACATGGGCGAAAGGTCGTGACCGATCCCAGAGATGCATATTCACATCGTCTCGCATTCTATGTAAAAAGAATCGGAATCTCTTGAATCCCGGGCACATTTCTCTCTCGGGAAGTTTGGGATCCTTAAATAAATGGAATCTTGGAAAATCTTTGGAATCCTTGGAAAATTTGGAAAATCTTGAATCCTAGAATCCGCGATATCTGTGGAATATATTATATATGATATATACATATATATATCCTTCGATCCCGAAATCTTGCGAGCAATCCGTGATCTTGGTTCCTCGGAATTGCATTTGAGGAGGGGAATCCTTGAATTCTCAGGATAATCAATATATCTTTAAGGTACGTGAAACTCTTCTCGTGCCTATCCCCGGTTATCGTGCAGAATCGATCTTTCGCCCCGACGTTACTCCTTTTTTTCTTTTTTTTTTGTGTTTGTGTGTTTATTCTTTAATAGTTAATATTGAAGTATTACAAACTATGTGGCGGAAAAACGTTTATCCGAAGAAACAATTGGTACGAATTTGTGTCCGACAAACCATCCTCGAGCATGTAACATTTCTCAAAACTCGACTCGCGCGATAATTATTTATATAACAATTAATATTATGCTGATATATCGATTTTTCTCGAGAGAGATGAGTAACGTTTGAGTCGCGCGCTTTTTTTTTGTTTCTTTAGCGTCGCATCTACCTTTACACGATGCCTGTCTTATATCCAAGGACGATGCACCACGAAAAATAATTTCATTCCAATATACAGACCGTTCATTTTTTTCAAAATTTCCTTCGCGATATACAAAAGGTCTCGCGCATATCTTGTGCAAAATAAAATACTTCTGACGATGAAACCCTCGAGATATTTGTTTAAAATAATAGTTAAGGCTCTTGAATCCTCATGTTAGATTGTGACGTCAGAGGCGAGAAAATTCTTGCGTGCCATTTTTAGATAAAAAGATATTTTAATAAAACACAACTCTCAGATGGTTGTAGCACACTTTTAAAATAGTTCCGAAAACTATTATTTTCCCTTGTGTCAATCAACATCCGTAAAATAATCGTGATAATTAACAGACTTTGTCATGCGGAATGTGCAAGATTATCAGGTTTCACAGTCATTTGACAGCTGTTGATTGATTATAATAAATAATGTTCCATCGAAATATCTTTTTTTTAGCGTGCGCTTTTTCGCCTCTGACGTCACAATTCCAACATGATTGGCGAGGGCCCAGGAGTCTTAAATTGATTACAACTTAATTATATATATATATATATATACAATTACACGTGCTAAACGAGATGCGAGAGAAGGATGCTTGCACTTGTGGGAGGATGAAAAACGTTGAAAGTTGCAACAGACTGTTATCTTTAATAAATCAAATGACATACAAAGGCCAATCGCAGTAATTCTCACTGTTTTTCTGCAACAACAAACTTTGATTTTCGTTACGCTATTGATATAATGTAATAGTTTTTCAAGGACACGTATAATTCTTGCGTTATATAACTCCCTCCGAGAAATCGCGGTGTTAAACGTAAATTCGACGGCGCATCGTCCTCGCAATCGGCAATTTTTTCCTCATCTGAATTTTTCTTCTCTCGCCTTTTACAAAGAGTAACTCTCGCTCGCTCGCTCGCTTCGATTGTCGAGCCTTAAACACGCACACAGATTTAGCCCATTCACGCACGCATGCATACACGCGAGAGCGCGCCAGGAGGAAATGAAAAAAAAAGAAAAAGAAAAAGGGAAAACGCAACGCATCGGGAAGGATGGATGATTTTACTCTTGCTCGATCCGCTACAGATTGAGAATCTAGCTAATGTTTAATTTAACACCGTCGATCGAAGTTTTGGATGTTATCAATCCGACCTCTCCTCGAATCTCCTCATCTCTCCCTTTTCGACTTGCATCTGTCATTCGCTTCTCTATGTCTCTTTCGCAAAATCACACTGTATATCAGACCTTATGGACTGACATTAGAAAGGATGAAACGCGAATCTGAGACAAAGAGAAGATGTGCTTAGATATATAATTATTTAATTACATATTTATTATATATTATATATATTATACACAATTATATTGTATATAATTATATAAATAAATAATATATATAGTTATATAAATATATTATATAAATAGATGCGAGGAAAAGGAGAGAAGAATTCGACCGAGGTGTCGGGATTGATTGGGATGAGAGGAACAAAAAGGATGGAGAACGGAAAAGCCATTAAATTCGCAAACTCGACTGATCGTTGTCGTGTGATGCATGCTAAAAAATAATAATGAAAGAAATCAGTCCGCTCGAGACTGGTTTCGTTATTAGCAACCTCAGTACACAACAGCGCTCCGATAATATAATAGATACTAATAGTTAATCATAGCGGTAATAAAAAGAATAATCGTAATAATAAGAATAATGACAATATAATCTTAATAATAATAATAATAATAATAATAATAATAATAATGATAATAATAAAAATATTCGCAGCAACGACAGGATTTTCATACTGGATGAAGGTCAGCTTGAAGATGAAGCCTCGCTTCTTCTTCTTTTTTTTTTACAAGCCACAATTTCGCGCAACGAGTCGTCTCGCAATGAAAGACGTGATGTTTTGGAAACGAATACATATACATATATTTTTTACAATATATAAATGCTGATATCATGTCGCTACGCGCAATTGTTGCTCGCGATTCATCCGCACGTGTATGAAAATCCTACGTGATAAGAATTAGCGCGTGACAATGGATAACAGTAGCTCCGGTGTGTTGGTCCTCCAACTCCACCGAATATATATAAAAACACAGGTATGTGGAACTCCGGCACCCTTTTGTGGACATTATAACATTTAGCAAAAAGGTCCGCCGTTCAACCAACCGCGCAACGTTTTTTGTTCGTAAAACAGCAAACGAAACACCAAAAGCTATTTCTCTAACAGCCAGCCCTCTTTCCTCGCTATATTTATGTATTATTATGAAAAAAAGAAAAGAACATTCGCGCGCGAGATAGAGACAACTAATCAATGGTCATATAAACTGCATTAATTCATGTATGTGTGTGTGTTGTGTGTGTGTGTGGCGATAGTAGTATTTTTTTTGTGTTGCTTTTTTTACTTCGATAGTACTTCTCTCACTAGACACGATTCAACATATAGAAAGTTTATCGTTATTATTTAATAATTATTATTTTATCATTTATAATTATTATCTTAAAGCTGTCTAAAGACTCGCTGCGTGGCAGGAGCGTCATGTTTTTTTTTTCATTCATTTTTTATATTACTTTGCTTATTCTTACATGTGTCAGACGGTATCTCTTCATTTTTTTGTTTTCTTTATATCTGTTTCTCTCTTTCTCCCTTCCTCTCTGTGTTTTTTTTTAGTTAGGTACGTTTGTAGTCGTCCTCGCTTTTTAATAACGTGTGTTAAAATGCACGCTATCGCGCGTACATTCGGTAACACAGGGTGTATCCTCTCTTTTTTTCTCTCCCTAGTCGCCATAGACTCGTACGTGTTTTATGTGTATTTATATCTTAAATATCTACTACTTGTGGCTGCTTTGTGATTTGTAATTTGCATAGATCACAATGTCATACCATCTGCGCCAGTGAACGATTTTTTTCTACACCTCTTCTTTGCAGTTTCCGTTTACAACGCTTCATCCAAACAATATACAATGCTTGTTGCACAGATCGCAGGTTTTTTCTGACCCCTCTCCTCTTCTCTTTCTTGGACAATTCAACAAAAAAGTTTCCCGAAATTTTGAAACGTGTAAAAAAATGCAGACATGTAAGAGCTTAACAATTTGTTGAAATAAAGCTCGTCCATTTCTCTCATTAATTAATATAAATTTTATAAATATATATGTATTATATACGTATTACATATAAATGCAATATAATATGTAATAGATTTTATATATATATATATATATATACTACATATTATATATATATTTATGTAACGCATGTTACATACTTATGTGTATACATCCATATCAAGGAACGATTGTTTAATAGATTGCAAGAAAGAGAAAAGTAAATTTTTGAATCGAAGAGGATCGGGGTTCTTGTCTCAATGTGTTTCACCCACTCGTGCGTACTTGAATTTGTTATTGTGATTTATACTTCATATTTATATTTTTTTTTTCGTCGAAACCTACGTGCTAAGTAAATTCAGACCAGCCGAAATTGTAAATTTTCAAGAAGAAAATGAAACTAAAGGGCAATTATTATTTTACTATATCGAAATACGTTAGCAATAAGAGAGTGTTCGTCGCTAGAAAATAAATAAAATTTTACTCATTCTTTTTTTTAATATCTCATCGAAAATGCGAACGCGTTGATCACGCACTCAATCGAACGCGTCCCCCAATTAAATAGCACTTTTTTTTAATAAACGCATATCTACGTGTTTTTCTTCCTCTATATGGGTCTCTCATATTCGTTTCATTCGCACCAGTGCGAAATATAGATTTATGTCGGTTTGCCGTTTCAATCACAGAAGAAACACAAAAGAGAACGGATAGATATTTTATCATTGTGTTGATATTAGCACAGCGTTGCAGAATCGAAGCGTATTTAGATTTCCTCTTTCCTTTGAGAGATAACACAATTGCGTGTTATTCTCCTGTTTTTCGCTCCTTCTCTCCTCGTCATCCATCTTGAAATATCACTTCTCCCTTTCTGTGCCATTCGTTTTGTCTCATCTTTCTTCCTGTGTCCGGCAAGAGGGACCTAAGCAACTGCAACGTCCAACGACGGAGTTTCAATTCGATTGATTGCACGTCGACGGATTTGTGCAGTTGCCTGGGTCCGCGGACATTGGCATTTCATTACAATTATACAGTTATATAGATTCTATATATAAATACCTATTATGCATTCGTATAATACATACCTAATATGCAATTGTGTTAGAACTCGGCCATCGCTCAAACTTATGTAACTTAATAATTACATACACGTGTACACCGTCTCTTGTACCGTTTGTCCCTTGCGGCGGAATATGTTTTTTTTTTTTTTCGCAATGTGTGGAATATACGTCGTGCGCGTGAACGTTATTTCATTCTGTGTGAATTCGGTGTGGAGTATCGAAATTGCGTGTTCGGTGTTGTTTTTTTTCCTTGAAGTGTATATTGCATGTCTGCGTGCATAAGTCCATGCGTGTGTATGTATATGTATGTGTGTGTGTGTGTGTGTTGCATTTTTGTAAGCGCATTTCTGTTACGCGTCTTTTTCACACATATATATATATATATATATATATATATATATACAATATATATATAATATATATATACAATATATAAATAATATATATATATATATAATATATATATAATATATATATATATATATATATATATATGATCGCGTGCACACCTTTTCATATGAATCGATGAAACAAAACGTAATATGTATAATTAACTTTGTATAATATACATATTAATATATATTAATATATGGTTTCATATTCTCTCGGGCTACACCATCCCTTTTCCTTCTCTCCCCCCTCACCTTTTTCCCTTCTACGCTATATATATTATCTCATTACATTTTTAATAAAGACGCCGTTCAGTTTTTAAACGAGTATACGATACGTCGCGGTGCAGACAGTAATATAAATATTCGAATTTTTACGCGAATATTTTCCCATTCCTTTTCTGTTTCCCTACCTCCTATGTTTCGTTCAATTTAACCGCAGTTGTAAGTAAATCGCATTCTTTTACCGTCGAGAAAAACGCAATGGAGTCGCAAGAGGCGTTCAGCAATATTTTATCTACATTCGCGCAATCTGCGACTTTTGCTCGACGAGTGTTCGCCGAAAATACAGCGGCATGGTTTGTGATTGATTTTTGCTTTTCGGTTAAATCGAAGAGAGACATACATACGTACTGCCTACGTAAACGCGATAGATCTTTTTCTGCAATTTCCCTTTTTTTTTCCCTCGCGACAAACCACACGCTTTTCCCTCCTCTTTCGTCGTGATATAATCGTTAATATAACAACTATTTATTCATAAATTCTGAACGATCAAATTCAATTGTAACGTGATCCACACTACAGTCCATTTCCCGTTTCGAAGATTCTCGTTCGTTCAACGCACACACGTGAAACGCGCACGCACGTGTACTCCGAATGTCTGAGAAAATGAAAAATCGGTACAGGAAAAGCTCAGCCAAAAGCAAACAAACGTGCGTTCGCGGAAAGCCAGGAAATGAACGGTAGTACTCATAACGTTAATCGATGGCAACTCGTGTTCGCCTAAAAAGATATCGCGTAATAATTATATTTCTCGATTCTCCGTCGTTGCGTGTCTCTTTTTTTTATCCTCGTTATCTATCTTCTGTGTTATTCGCACGAGCGGCAGTGACTCGTTTTCCCTCCATGCAAACACACACCCACACGCGCACGCACACACGCGCACACACACACATACACACACACCATCTATTTCTCTTTCCCATCCTTCCGTCTCTTTCATCTTCGCGAGACGCGCCGATTTTAATTTGCGTATTAATAATCATATACCGTCGTGCACCCCGTCTTTTTTCTTCCTTTTTTTTATCAAATCTGTGATCGTATGAATATATATATTCAACAATCGGCTGATACTCTTTGCGATATAATGGCCTTATTTCAGGCGAATTATTTTGGTGTTCGCGCTTGATGGCAAGTGTGACGGTGTGTGATGTGACGGTGGGCGATGACGATGACGATGACGATGACGGTATATTCTCGGTGACAGGCGACGGTGACAGTTAATGTGGTGTCGGTGATGGCGGTGCGACAATGACGATGATCATGCCGATGACCATGTCGATGTCATAGCCGATGAATAATAAATGACGATGACCGACGATGGCATAGACGACTCTGACAAGTTCCTTTACTTCGCTTAATGACTTGAAAACGAGTTATAATTCCCAAATGTTCGAGTTAAGTTAAAGCCTTTTTCACTTGATTAGGGGAGAGTCTAAATTTGGATTGGGGTTAGGCTGTGTGTTCGAGGATGGCGATGGTACCTGTGCCACCACCGAGCCCTTCCCCTCGGACAATACATTCCCTCCGCCGCTGCTGCTCACGCCACCTCCCTCCTTCATCTTTTCGCAATAATCTGCGAAGATATCACGGAAACGCGCCCAGGACTTTTCCGGTACGGTGATGGCTGTCCTGAAGTTTGTCTTTACCTGGAAAGAACGCGTTCCGTCTTGCATTATTATCCCACATTTATTTCTTGCTTTCTTAGAGCTACACGTAGGAAAAGAATCAATTTTGCTAATTAAGGCCTCGTCAGCCATATGTTGGAATTGTGACGTCAGAGCCGAGAAAAGATATTTCAGATGGCTTTAGCACACTTTTTAAAATACCTCGCAAATTATATTCTTTTTCTTTGACAGTCGATCAACAATCGTAAAACGTTCGTGATATCAGACTTTGTCACGTTACAGCTGTTGATTGATTATACCTTTATAATTTTCGAGATATTTTAAGAGTGTGCTAAAGCCATCTGAAGTGTTGTTTCATCGAAATATCTTTTTATTTCGAAATAGCATTTAAGATATTTTTAGCGGTTTCTCTGACGTCACAATTCTAACATAATCAGGAGCCTTAATATAATCGTGAATATATAGAAAAAGAACGTCTTATAATATTATTATTAGATTCTTTGGTGAATTTGAAGTAAATCTTTCCTCGGCGAAATAAATATTTTCACGCAATTTCGGTGGATTAATTTTTTTTGGCATTTTTTCCCGCGTGCAAGAGTATAGCACGTACCTCAGAAATTCTCATGTAGATGCCACGGTTGTTCTGGCCTATATCAAAATAGAAATTCTTGCTATCCACGCGCATGTAACGGCCCTCGGGCAAGTCGCCTTTAAAGCCACCGTCGTCCGTCCCGAATTCCTCGAGAAGGTCCGTTAACGCGTCGCGAAACTCTATCATGCCTTGCGCTGGTATTGCAATCTGCGTTCTAGGTCCTCCCCGTGTTATCGTCTGCGATACCTGAGAAGAGCAACGTGAACATTATACTTAAAACACTCCATGTCGATTCACTGCGCTATTTGTATCTCTCTAACGCAAGTAATCATTTTATATCCACATATTCCTTTCTTCATCAACAACTCTAGAAGAGCTCTATTCGTCTTTGTCATCCTTCGAAAAGAGCACACCTCTTGAAAAAGCCGACAGATTCCTCTTATGACTTAGCGTAGAAAGTAAGTATATTGGCTGGTACATACAGGGTGACTCACCCGCAGGAAACGGCCGCGAGAATTCTCCTTGAGGTCCAAGTAATATCGCCTGTTATCCTTCACCATCATTTCTGATTTCAGTTTTCCGTCGTCTGGTACGTTTTCCGGGTTTGGTGGACCTAATTATCCAGTATCACAAACAAAAATCAATCAAGTATCTCTTTTCATTAAAATAAAGACAAGTATAACTATTGTAAGTTAAACGAATTTTAGGTATTACAAAATATTGAGCTCGATAGATTCCACATCAAGATATATGTGTTTCATTTATATTAGTTGTAACTGATACATTAAAATTGCTATTAAAATTGTACTTTTCTGAGTTGATAGATATTATAATGTACCTAGAGATGCGTAAAAATCGCTAAACGTCGACAGATGGTCCCGAAATTCGGATGCTGTACTGAGTGCCAGATAGATTTGGCTTCTTCTTCCATCCGCTCCAATCTGAAACAAAAATTATTATGTAAAAACTATTGTATTAGAAGCGATTTCTCGCGTCGATAGATCAGATTGTATAATATTTTTATAATTTTAACAAAGCGAATTTGTAAAAAAAAATTTGGAAGCACTTCACAACAAATACGTATCATCTTAATCATGTAATTTTATAGTATTAGAATCTAAATCAATAAAAATTAATAAAAAAATGAATAAATCGATAAAAAAGGTAAATCATATATTAGTAATTGATTTTTTTCTGTCATAGAGTCTAAAGTTAAAAGATAAAATGATACCTCAGCGACTTTGATAAACCTTCCACGTCTGTTTTGTTTTACGTCAAGGTAGAATCTTTTGCTTTGAATTTGCAGCATTTTCGTCGCCAGTTCCTGCTCACTCTGCTGGCCCTGCTGACCTATAATACAAACATAATTTATTAATATCATTAATATATTCATCAATATTAACAATTAATATTACATACAGCAACTTGGAATTGTTGCAAAATCGGACTTAAATTAACATCTCGCTCATATTATTAACGCAATTTTGTTTCATATAATGCTTCTATATTTCAATGTATTAGTCTTTTTCGCGACATTCTATTTAACAAATGACATTTAATGGCTCATATATACGTACAAATGAGTTTACTATGTTTCAATACACAAGTTTTCCATAGAAATATAGTCATTTACAGACAAATTAAACAGAAATTGAACATTAGCAAGTAAAATATAAACATATAAGAAAGTTTGCAAAATTATGCAAGAAAATATACACAATGAATATTATCTTTTAAATGGCATGTCTATTAATAATATTTAAAATAAACATTTTTATTTTATCAGATAATATTAGGAAAACTAATTTGCATAAGAGCCTCATTAATCTATATTAATAATTCTGTTAATATTCGCGCTGAAATTAATCTAACAATACAATAATTTTTCTTCCATTCGTATGTAAAAAATTATTGATCTCAGGTGCAATTTTGCATCCGTCAAATTAATCTCAAGTTTTCAATATTTATTATTAAATCTGCGAGAAGAGAATGAGATCAATACTGCGAGTATTCGAATTGTTTTCCTAACGTTGTCAAATCTACATAGCACAATTATTAAATCAATTATTCCTAAACATTTCTCTCTAAATATTTAAGATTGTTATATTATTAATATGTAAAAAAATCAATAACAGTTTCTTAAGAAACTTAAATATCGACAAGATACAAGTTGGCGAAAAAGAGAATAAAAATTGTTCTCTAGATCAGAATTAATTAAAAAAATCACATTATTGAGACTTAAGAAGCTATACATTAAAATTATAATATATAATTAATTACATAAATATATAAAAAAATCAATAATCGGTTTCTTAAGAAACTTAAATATCGACAAGATATAAGTTGGCGAAAGAGAGAACAAAAATTGTTCTTTAGATCAGAGAATTAATGAAAAAAAGTCACATTATTGAGACTTAAGAAGCCGTACATTAAAATACTCGTCGCAAACACGCGTACATTATTGAATCGATTTTTTTCCACGTTGCTCAATTATGCGCGCGACGGTTTGACGGAGACGAGCAACGTAGAAGGGATCGACAGGGACAAAGAGAGGGAGAGACATTGGGTTGTCCCCGTCAGTGGTTGGTAAAGAGGTGACCCAGTGTTTATTAGGTCACTCTACGCTCGATCCCCTCCGTTGGATTTTCTCGGGTCACGTCTCTCTCTCTCTCTCTTTCTCTCCCTCTTAGTCCGGCTTAGCAAAGCGATCTTGAAATCTCGTTTCAGGAAGAAGCTGAGGATACTCGAGCGGCCGTTAGAACTGGGTCCGAGCAAACGGTTTATCCTGTCCGAGATAGAACAAGCGGCTATAACACGCGCCAGAGCGATGTTGCTAGTCCTCATCGATCAATAACAGCTGCGCCAGAGGAGAGGTCGACGACCTCTTTGGTGCCCCACTATCATGACCAGATATGTTCCTAGTGCTTTTTTATGCTACCTGCTTGTTCTCCCTTCTTATCCCGAAATATCCTGTTGTGCGAGCAAATACTATTCATTCCCGAACTCGGGTTTACTGGACCCCGAGAACCAGCCTGATGCACGGTGAGATTGTCTCTTGGAATTTACCCTGAAAATCGTGGGATGGTATTCGAAGAATTTTACAAGAGTTTCTAGGATTAATATATTTTTTACCACAATAAAAAATATTCATATCTACCGCAATAAGATGTAAAATATGTTCGATTAATTTTACTATGTACATATTAATATATTTATCGATTAATATTAGGAAAAATAATTTGCATAAAAGTATCATTAATTTATATTAATAATTTTAAAACATTCACGTCGAAATTAATCTGATAAAGTAATGATGAAATAATTTTTCTTCCATTTGTATGTTTTTCATAGGTTCAAAATGATTGATCTCAAGTGCAATTTTGTATCGTTAAATAATCTCAAGTTTTCAATATTTATTTTAATTTGCAAAAAGAAAATGAGATCAATATCAATAAAAATATTAATACCTACCACAATAAGATATAAAATATGTTCAATTAATTTTATTATGTACATATTATTAATTTTTTATTGTTTAAATACTAATCAGAGAAACTATAATATCATAATTACCATGATTTTTCAGGGTAAATTCTATGAGAAAATTATCTTCGTGTGCAAATCTACAACGGACGAAAGACAGATACTTTTTTGGAAAATTTAATCGTTTGTTCCCGAATAGGACGTTCAAATCCTCCAAATTAAATTTTTTATCTTTTCTATGACAGCTGATCCTGTTTCATTAAACATGAAGCATCACCTCGAGTGATTATAGAACGAATTATATGTGTCAACAGAAAACATCACAACCAGGTCTTGGTGTAATGGAAACTATTAATCTTTCTGTCAAGAATAGATTATTTATTATGCTAATAAATTTACTTTCGAGGAAAATCATGAGATGCTAGAACGATATTTTTCTTTATATTAATTTCAAGCAATTAATTTCTATTATTGCCTCGCATCGCTTGCACGCGTATATTTTAATACATAAGCTGACAAAGTGAAAAATTACTGTGGAGTCACTTTCTGCGATATCTTTTTTTACTAGAAATATTACAAGATTAATCATTCTATCTTAAAGTATATTCGCATGCCGAATGAATTTTTGAAAATATAATAAAAAGTATACGATGGAATAAAACCAAATAAAATGGAAATCAACAATTATATTAAAAGAAATAATAACATAAATATGATAAAAAAAAAATATCTTTTAAATTGTCTACAATATAAAGTTTTCTCTACAGTTTTCTGAAAAAATCCTCCAAAGAAACTGTTTAAATAAATTCCACAGAGAAAATAGTTGATAATTTTATTTCTATATTAACAGTAATTTTTATATTAATAATTGTAAGATTTAATTTTAAACCAATAAATATTGCCTAAAATTATTTTATTAATTAGAAGTCTTTTACTCGCGTTTAGTTCTTATTATCTCTTTACCTAAATACCGATAATTAATTAAAGGATCGATCGTTCTCGTCAAAACATATGTATTATCAAGCATCAAGGTTATTGTAATGAGAAAAATGCTCGATTGTATAACAATGGATCGAAGATCTTGGGAATCGATCGCAGACGAAGAATGAAAGGATTGCAGAGAGATCTCGTGCGCAAAGGAGCCGCGTTCTCGAGAAGGGATCGATCGATGTAACGCGGCTTAGCGTGGCTTTCCGCTGCGCTACATTACTACGTACTGGATTGTTGCAGGCTGCCTGGAATTGGGACGGGGCTGAGATCGCCCTGGAAAATCCTGCTCTTGAACATCCTATCGATACTACGGTAATCCGTGCACCTGTGCATAATACGTCCTTCTCCTAAGGAGCCGCGCGACGTCGCGCTAAACAACTCACAGAATTCGAGGAAACCGCATTAACTGACAAATAATGCCCGCTTATTTCTCTCTCTTGCTCTTCCTCCTTATTTTCCTCCTCCTTCGTTCAACGAAAAAATCCTTCGTACAAGAGCAGCCCTCATCGCGAGGAGATTCACGTCTCCTTCCGAAGGTGACATTTATGTGGCACATCCATATCCCGGTGTCCGTCCGAAGGGCGATCTCTCTCGTCCGCTCGCTCTCGGCTTCTTCAGCGCATAATAACTCTCGTCGCGTAAACTTGGCGAAAGAGGTCGTTGTTGGTCCTCCGGCAACTCGGTCATCACGCGTATCTCACCTAGCCCCATCTAAGCGTATTAACATCTAAAAGCCTTCGAGCTATCGTTGCGACGACGTACTCGCAAGCGGACGACTTTCCGTCCACTCGTTCCCTTGGCGAAGGACGACCCGCGACGACGGGTCAATCGATGAACGACGCATCGCCGCATCAGTCTCAAGAAGATACCCTCCCGGCGTTCTAATCGCGTCTACTACCACCACTTGGCAGGCCACCTTGACCGAGTCGTCACTTTCCGTATAATAGCCCGATCTGTCGATACTTCTCGTCCCTCGCGGAGGATCAAAGAGGACCCGTGCACTTTCACCATTGCTCTATTTCCCGGAGGCGTCTCCTTCTCCGCTCGGTCGATGACTGTTGCATCGCCATTCCCCTTCCTTTTGCCTTGTACGAGACACCACCTTTCGTGAAGTCAAGATGCACCCCTCGGGGTCGCCTTGCTTTTCCGGCAATTCTCTCGTAATCCACCGTCAACGTCGGGCCACTGTGTCACATCGATCCGCGTCGAATCTGACCCCTCCTGACACCTTTCAACTCGCTCGCGATTCAGTTCGACGCGATGTCACTTCCTCCTTCGTCGAGTTAGTGTGTACGACGGTGTTCGAGAACTTCCTTCCTCTCGTTGAAGGAGTGTAACTAGTTTCTAGAATTGTACACCATCCTTTGCGAATACATTCTTCCTTTTGGAGTAATAGAAGTAACCTCTTCGCATTTTCTTTAAGCTTCCTCTGTTCTTCTTCTAGTAATCTTGAATCTCCTCTTTCTTTTCGTCCCTCCTCGCTGCCATCCTCTCTCTTGCTCTCTTCTGGACTCCACCCTCGGGGTTTTGGTTTCTTCTAGGTCACCATTTATTACTCGGAGACTGGCTGCTTCTCATTGAAGCTCCTGATCATTCTTGCCAGCCTGGAGAAACGTGGAGGAAATCATGGAACTGTACGACGTTCATGGGTATACAGTTTCCGGGGAAAAATTCTAGAATCATACAGAATAATACATGATACACTTGTGAGACGTTTCTCGGTCAATCGTCAGTGACATCATTCAATTCACGAAGGAAATACCTTCTTCGGCTATCGTCGCTTTCGAAATCCTTCCCTTGCGAGTATACGCGAGCGGAACAAAGATGATCAGACGTGGTTCAGCACGGTGAATCACTTGGAAGCATCCGAGTTTCCGATCTTAAGGAGGAAATATTCTGGGCATCCTTTCTCTCTCTTGCTTCTTTTCTCCAAGGGTCGCCCGAGATACGAGGTCGCCTGTGTTGCATCGATTAGTCACAAACTCGAATGTGGAAGGGATCTCTACAATACTCGATCAATGTGATTCCAGCTGGTTTAAGCGGAATCCTCTCCTCGTTGACGTTTCTACAGATCCAAAAAAGGATTCTTCCTCTTCGTCGCAAAAGTGGACGACTCTCTCTCTCTCTTTTCTCCTTCAGAAGCACACTCGCGGATGAAATTCCACTCTTGGTCGAGTATTCCTCTCCTAGGGATAGCGTCGATAAACGATTCCTCCGTCGACTAACGATTGGAGCGCGTGTCCGTCCGTGTGCAGAGACGCCCACTTCTCACCCGCCGGCTTGCATCGACGTTATATCGCATTTCACAGCACAGTTGCACAGGGCGCGAGCGCCCACCATTTCGCGAGCCGGACCTGGCGCCGTCGTCTTCAACGTCTTCCTCGTCGTCGTCCTACCGCCTCGTCTTTCGCGATCGCTCGCCCCGTCCATCGTTCATCGCACCAGGTCGTCGCAGCAACGTTTCCACCTTCAGTGGAGCACCTCATCCGGATGACGTTTCTCCACGTTAAGGTTCTCGCGTCTGGAGACCTATCATGAGAACCTGGAGGATCCGTCGAGGCTCTAGGACCTAGTCCAGGATTTCGAGTGGACTACGAGAGTGACTGCGGCAATGAGTTCCGCGAGTGCATTGATCTATCTCTCTTTCTCTCCTTCTCTCTCTCTGCCTTGCGGAGGCTCGTAGCGCTCCGACCTGCCTCAACGCGAATCTCAACGCCGACTCCTCGCCGCGCCGTTCCCACCCACCCACCCACCCGCCCATGCGGTCACCCCCTTCTCTCCCCCCCTCCCCGCGGAATGCGTCGTCTCGCTGCCCCACTAGCATCCGGCGTTTCCGGCACGAATCGGAACGGGGGGAATGTCGACGCCGCGCGAATTAGGGATGATGGCTGATTGTTTATTAGAATGCAATGCAGATTCTCCAAGATTTACGCAGAGCGCATGGGCATCCGCAGGGCCAGGCAACTACCCCCTTGGAATCAGTAAAAATTTCAAGCATTTGCTCTGGTTTTTAATTGGAATTTATTTTTGTGCATATTTAATATTAAAAAAAAAAAAAAAAAAAAAATTAAATTAAATTTAAAATTTTTTTAATTGAGAAAAATAAAAGATAAGAAATAAGAAATAAAAAAAATTGTAATTATATCTTCCTATATGAAATAAAAAAATTAAAATTAAAAAATTGATAAAATTAGGAAACAAAATTTTAATCGGAGACCTCTCCCTTGAAAAAAATTCTACAAACGTTCATGCGTAAAGCGTAAATTTAAACGATCAATTTCGCGAAATTAACGACCTGAGCGACAAGATGGATAAGTTATTAATAATTTTCTCCGCGTTATAAATAATTATTTTAATTACGATATTCTTTAGCTTTATTTTTCTTTAGTTTTCATCGATCGGAACAGTTTTTTTCAAAAATTAATCAATTAGTCTCTTGATAAATATATTAAAGCTGTAATAAAAGTTTCACGATCGTATATTTAATTCAAAGATCTAATTAAATTTCTATGTTAGATGGAAAACGATCAGAATGATAAATATCAGTTCGTAGAAAATGGTGTCTGAACCTGAACGAATCATCGTCTATTCGTCTCCATCTTTATTATCCTATTTGTCTGATGTAAGAATCCATACAAGAGCTTTAAATAAATAGTTTTATGTTACAACGAAGCGATCTGTGGCCGCAGAAATTTCATAGGACAGAAACAGAGAATTTATAGAATATTTTGTCAAATGGAATTTTAATTATTTATAAATTACGTTATCGTATAATTAATTCCTATCTTTCAATTTTCACCTGTCAACGTTATTTTTAGAAAAAAAATGTCTATTTTAGTCAAACTTGTTCCGTTACTTATTTTTTCTCTTCACTTGTTTCACTTGCTAATTTTAATGATAATAAATAATGTATATGCATAAGCATACGAGTATTTGCAACACAAATATGACTCACGATAGTCGATTCATTCATAATCATTAAATCATTAACATTACACTTCTTTCCTTTTTACGGGATCGTGTTATAACGGTGTTCTGTATCGCATCAGCAGTATTTGATTTATAATTATTTATAAAAATCAGCGATACAGAGAGAAAACAGCAATAAACATTACAATTAGCCATAATATATAAAATTATATTAACGTTTGCTATTATTATTATTACAGTTTATTGTTCAACTCTATTGTTTCTCTCATATATTCAATCATATATTAATTTGGAAAGTGTACATATTTTTGACACGTAGTTTCATATTAATTTACCTATTTTCTCTCTCACACACACAATCATTATAAAAGTTTTAATTATGTTAAAATTAATTAATTCATTTTATGTAACAAAGACCAATGAAATTTAGAAACATAAGTGTGAAAAGAACGATAAAGTTCGATTTTCAATGCAATTGAAATATGCGGTTTTAACAAAAATAAAGTAATTTAAATAATTTAAATGTGACGATTTCTAATTGAAATCATAGTAAATGAGCGATTTCTTAATCGAATATCGAAGGAATTTTCATTATTATATTGTATCTACTCCCATTAACTTTTCCCAGAAACGAGTTTATAATAAAGCATTTAGCAGGAATGTAGATATTTATAGATTAATCGTGTGTGTGTGTGTGTGTGAGAGAGAGAGAGAGAGAGCTTCATTCCAATTTGAATCATCCGCATTTTGTGGAGTCACTGCGAATATTTTCCGCCAACACAATAGTGTGTTTTCAGAAGCAGTCAATTTAAGAGCACGTAATTTTCCGACGAATTTTGTTTCCTCATAGCGCGATTGACGGTTTATTTCAAGCTTTATATCATCCAGCTTCTTCATGTTTGTGCAATATTTTAGGATTACGTTCAATCTGCTGAGAAAGAGAGAAAAAATTGCAGAATTTTTAAATAAATATTTTAGAATACAATTTTTTATATGCAAAATTGTGATTGAAAGCTCGCCTATGTGGGAGGATATACTCATCTCTCTCTCTTTCTCTCTTCTCTAGCCGCTATCTATTTTTGCAAAAATATGAGACGTATTTCCATAATAAGAGAGAGTATCCTCTCTCAGGATGATATTCTCCCTATTTTAAAAATAATCAATTTTGCAAATATATATGAGACGTTTATACATATTTCAGTGTAAAAATATACGTTTGACTTATTTATATATTGGCACCCACATATTATTAATAAAATCAAAATCAGATATGAAAAGGGCCTAACAGAGCTAACAAGAGCAACAAATTTGTTTTTAAATTTTCCTTCAATTATTCGATACGTTTAGATTTTTTTGACCATCTTCAGAAGATCGAGTAAAAAATTCGGATGATTCAAAGAAAAGATCGAACCGTTTAAAATAATTAGAGAAGAATTTAAAAACAAGTTGCACTATTTATCTCTCAGCTTTTTTTATCGGAACCTTTTCAATTTATTTTAAAGTAAAATTGAAATGCATTTTTTACGCCGTTTCATGGATCCATTCTATCTACTTAGAGAGAATTTTCTTAGAATTAAAATTATGGTAATAATCGTGCACTGAAAAAATTATTAAATTAAATATTTATTAAATATTTATTTCAATACTTAATAAATCATTTATTTGACACAAATAAATATTTATTTGTTTTGAAAACGACTTTGATTAATTTGGCAGTATTGAAATAAATACTTATTCAAATTGAATAAATTTTTTTTTAATGTGGAATAATATGATATTGGAAGAATTTTAGAGAGAAAAGTTTCTCCGATTAAATATTTACACCACAATAAAAATAATATCTACCAATAAAATATAAAATATGTTCGATTAATTTTACTATATACATATTAATATTTTTTAATGTAATAAATACATTTAAAAAATCCATGTACTTTTACATGGAAATAACTTGTTCAAAACTGAAAAAATTACTTAATTAACACTGTAATTTTTTCCATATTTTTTAAATAAAAATACAAATATTAATGTAAAAACATATGTAAAATATAGATAAAATTACTATTTTTATGCAAAAATCAATTGTAATTTTAATTTATTTTTACTTTATTTTATAGCATTTATATACATTACTATGTGCAATTCCATATTCTGTGGAATATTTTTAATTATAAAAATATATAAGAATATATTTCATATGAAATTACATGTAATCTGTAATCTTCCATGGGTAGCAATATTGCATGTATGCTGGGTCGAAAAAAAACTCAGCATAATCATGTAATTTCATACAAATATTTTTTCTGTGTATTTAATCAGAGAAACTCGTATGGAATTCTTCCAATATCATATATTATACCAGGATTACCATTATTTTAAGGATAAATTCTCTCCATGTACGGATACACATACCAGGATTGACGTCAAAATTACGCGAACATTACGTTTGCCGTAAGACCTGAATCAGAAATGATTCTCGGAAAGAACGCGTCAATGAATCACACGCGTGATTCAGGTCTAGCGTCTGTCTCTATTCGATACGCATGGAATGACGTATGAAAGAACGTACGTATTATCCCCCGGTATTTCCGCTATTTCAATATACATTTAAGAAACAAAAAAACATTCTTTTACATTTTTTAAATAAAGGGAGGTTTCTTATATTAAAAAAATTTTTTTTTTAAATGTAACTTTTCAAGGAGGAATATAAGAGTATGTTTATATAAGAAACCCTCCTTAACTTAAAAAAAATTTTAACAAATTTTTTTTTATTTCTTAAATGTATACGTATAAAAAATTTGTTTTTAAAGAAAAATTTATATCTCTCTATAAGAGTCTTTTTAAAAGCAAGAAGAATACCTTCCGGATACCAATACTGTATCCTTTCCATAGTGTCGCCCCAGTCTTTCGAATTCCCATCATCATTCTGTGACCCTTCCACGATTTCTTCCATCATCAAATGATTTGGCGCGAAATCTCGAAATCGGTTTCTTCGAATGACACTTTTTATAAGAAACTAATTGCACGTGTCACTTTCTAACGTCACTTAAATAATGTATCTATAGTTCACTTTGTCTATAAATTGTATCACGTGTATAAAAAAATTCAAGGAAGACAAATTTATATAATATTTTAAGTCGTGAAATATTTCTCTCTATTAAAGTTTCGTAATATACAATACAGATCCCTCCTCTTTCTACACTTTTTATTTTTCATCGATTCGAGCTTCGAACGCGAATCCCATTCATCAATCGAGTCTCTCAATGGCGCGAAGTTCGATAGACGTGAGATTTATTTATTTTTCGGCGAAAATTGCAATTTTTTCAGGAGGAAGTAAAATGATGAATGAATCTTTTGACGTAAATCTCGCGCAAACGTCCCTTCGTACGTTCGTAGATAATAATAGAGATGCGAGAGATTATTTTGAACGAATCAAGACCGCAGAGTTCTCGGTACCGTTTATCGCCAGCTCTTTCCACATCCGCAGAGATCGACAAGAACCGTATCATACACTCGTCTTGGACTTATAAATTCCAAGTGTCACCGAGGCATCGCGATTGGCCGGCTCGTGGCACTCGCGATAAATGAATGAGATTTTCTCGGTAAAAATATATACACACTCGAGATAGTCCTCGATACACTTGCGATTTATCTTCCACGTGCACTCGGCTTTCTAATACTGCATCTCGAACGCTTCAAGTTGCAGTAAAGAGAAGCAGGTTAAAGATACCGTGCCGCGAGATGAGA